CTACAAAAGTAATAAAATGATTAACAAATATTTAATTTAAAATAATTAAGCACACAAGTAAATTATTATTTCATAGACTGTCGTCATAGGTAAAACAATATAAAAGTGATAAAAAATCCTTATACGCTGGGGAAATCACATGTTGGAAAAAATCTAATCAAATTAGAATAATATCTAACAAACGCCCCCGACTCAATGGAGGACTTTATCTGCTGTTTTCAACAGTTTAGCCATAAAATTTAAAAAACAATTTGTACGAAAAGTAGACTCATGTCTTCGAGTGGGTGGGTGTGTACATACATATAAACATACTCGCAGACTTATGTCCTTGTACAGGAGAGGGACGCAACATGTTCCTGTGGATAGCACAGCTGCCGCTTGTCGTGCCGAATTATCTCGTTTGTCTACGTTTCCATTTAAAACACACGCTTGGCAGCACTTCAAGCTCTCTAAGTGATGGCAGAAACAGCGCACGCCGCGAGGTTACAACTGGAAAGGGTCGTGAAGATGAAATTGAAGCTGGAGCTGGAGCTGGATTTGGGGTAGAAGCAGCGGAGCCTTGTGCAGTTGTCAACAAATTAGCCAAAGGATTGCCACAAAATACGCTGCTAATTGCCTAAATCTATCCCACATGGCACAAGCAAGCAGCCAATTTGTAGGCAATGTCCTTTATTACCTGGCAAACAAGCTGCCGACGTAATTAATAAAAGTTGTCTACACGCTCAAAATTATACAAAATCGTGTGCTTAACAGCTGTGTCAACAAGAGCGCCGGCATTTGCATAATCGGGATATAAGAGTAAGCCTTGATGTCAATACTATAGTTCAAACAAAATTAACCGCCAAATAATTGAGCTGGATCTGACGCAAATGACGAAACAGAATTAATGCACAACGTTTTCTTTTGCATGCAAAAGCAAACTGCAGTACTTTGCATTTTTAATCAACCAAACAGCCCGAGGGGGGAAATAACGATGGTGGCGGTACGAGTATGGCGGGTTGGATAGAAACTTGACGGGCTGCTCAAGACCTCAAACACAATGAATGAAGGCAAGCGACTGCTTAAAAGATGCGCGCACGTGGCATGAATAAATTAAAACGATTTCGTTCCATTTTTTGCAAACGATTTATTACAAAGCAACTCCGATGAGGATGTCGGCTCGTGGTATCAGGCAGCAGCCCTACAACGAGGCTCTGGCGCTTCTGATGTTGCTGTCGCTATTCCTGTTGCTGTTGCTGTTGCTGCTGATGATGATGATTATGCGCCATCTTCCCTTTCTGCTTATTTCATTTTTTTCTCTGCTGCCAAAGATTGTTGCATATTAAATGGCGCCTAAGTGCGTCGGTACACGAGCTGTCTGCGAGGAAGGATGCTGAGGGCGAGTTGGGTTGTGTGGCTCCCTGCACAAACAAATCAAATCAAAATCGAAACGTGTGCTGCTATCGTCTCGGCCCCTCGCATTTTTTGCTTTTACGACACAGCAACCGCCTCGACTCCATTTATTTAAATTCAATTTTATATTAGCGGCACTCACTTCACAAACATCGCTTCTCAGCAGCCGTCGCACCACCGTGGCTCAAAACTTCAACAGGAAAATAATTACTTAAAATAAATGAAAAAATCACCTCAATGGCATTACTTTACAAAAGCCAGACATAACACAAACTTTAAAATTGGCAGAACTTTTTCCAGTTATGGGGTCAAAATAGATTGCTAAAGAGCTTCAAAGAAAACCCAAACAATACTCATGGGAATTTGAAATGAAAACACTTCTTTATTTATTACTCATTAAAATCAAATTTTTAACTGGTTTGTTTTATCAACTAAAATCCTCTTCTTATATACTAAAGTTAAATTCTAATAGTTAAAGTCAATAAATGTTTAGGATAGAAATTTAGGTTTTAAATTCAAGAGAATATCAGTAAATTGAAACTTTTTCTACAAAAAATAACAAAACCTCATGTTGCTAAAAATTTTATCTGATAAAAGTTTTACAAATATAAGGCTAACATCTTTTTGATTTTAATCAAAGTTATTAGTTTATAATCTAATAAATCATTTCAGAAAATTTATAATCTGCTGTCAAAGAAATAAATAAATTATATTAATTTAGACATTAAGCCCATGCCTATAAGTTTTTAATACCAAAAATCTTCACATTTTAAAACTATACATACAACTTTACTTTACAAGTTACTCTTGTAATCATACAATAGTACCAAAGTATTGGTATAGTCTAAAAAGTTGCTAATAATATAAGACTGGCAAAAATCAAAATGAAAACAGTCAAATACAATAAAAAAGTTATCATGAAGAGCTTGCATAGATATGGGAACCAATTGCAAATTGAGAATCTTGTACTCATGTCTGATGGATTTGTACCACTCATGGGTCCCAAAAAGTAACTATGTATGACGAAAATGATTAGTAAAAGATAAGATGGTATAAAAACAGTAGGTTATATAGCTTGCAACCCATTAACATGGATGAATAAAGTTTTGATGTAAGTCGAAGAATACCTTAACGCTTGTTGTATATTTCTCCATTTAAAATATGTTCTTTGAGATCCCCATGCAGTTATTAAAAACGTGGTCATGTGATTTTTAAATTCGCAAAGAATGATGAGGACAGAAAAAGTATCTTGCCTCGAACCAGTTCTGTACCAATGTGCAGTGTTCAGCGTTCGCTTTTATTGCCTCAAAATAGCTTACAAAGTGGATTGAAAGCAGTCATAAAAGAGAAAAGAAAAAATTCACGGAGTTACTTGCCGCAGATTTGTAGTGGCCATAAGTGGGCTCCATTGGCACGTCGCCTGCATGGAGGCGCAAAAATTAATTCAGTTAGAGCCATGAACTGCCGGTATACAGGATCGAGCTCACGGAAATTTTAAATATTTTTCCCTTTGGGTTTTCACAAACGACGCGTCGTTTGAAGCGAAACCGCAGAACTGTCATCACAACGTTCGATTTCCTGGGGTGCAATACTGTGTATATACTTGTATGTTCCCTATCGTCGTCTTTGCCTTTCTCTATCAGTGTCAGCTATACAGCGTTTCCTGTCGCCTGCCCGTCCAATGCACTCCCTATACAAGTACAAAAAAAATTGCTACAAACGATGCCAAAAACGAAACGTCACTAAAAGCTGCTTTAAGTGGCTTTTTGTGCGCCAGTGTATGAGCAATTGAATTGACAAGAGCACAGCTTATATACGAGTAAATATACAGTACTACCAAAGCATACAAAAAACACATCTGAAATACTTGTATTCAGCCCTGTTACAATTTCTGTAATTTAAATAAACATAAATAAACGTTTGCCCTCCACAAAATACTGTTACCCTCTGCCGAGTACATTTGAAACGTCACTATGGTTTCAACATCTCGTTGAAGTGCTATAGCGCTCGAAATTTAAATTATGTCACCAAAAAGACACACAAATATCAACTACAAATTAAAATATGTACATTATTACAATCGTTTTATTTATTTATTTAATTTGAAACGGTAAGCATAGCATTGCTTTTGTGTTTTGCTCGTTCTTTGTAATTTAGTTATTTTTATGTTTATACAAAGTTGTTTATCTTCGATTGAATTTTGCTGGTGAAGTCTTATTCACATACGATTGCGATGTTGCCGAATTTTTACACAATTTTCTTGTCAAATGGTAAACGTATTCATATTCTAATAGAATGAGAAATTCTTCAATTTTTCTAATGTCTTTATTGGTAAAAAAAAAGCTTCAAGGACGTAAAAAGCAGTCGATTTAAAGCACTAAATTAAAGGATCAGTGATACATTAACTATAAAGAACTTAATTTATTTTTATCTGCTAGGAAGTGAGAAATTAAGACAATCAATTAATAGGCGTGATAAATACTCTCGGAATCTGATTCCCAAAAAATATATCGAAATCCTAGTCGACGATGTTTAGATTATTAAAAATCTTGTAACTAATCAATCGCTATTGATATTTGTTTCACGGCATTAGTATTATATTAGTATTATAGTGGTATTATACTATCGTAACTACAATATGGAATAAATATTTAAAAATGTTTTATTTTATGACTTGCTGAACTTATATAACACACCTATATATATTAATACTGGATATGCTGCTCGATTATCCTGAAATAAATGAAATTGTTTAAAGTGAAAAGATTCTCTCTTTCTATGAAATTTCTACTGTAACATCGAGGAAAAGCAAACTACATTACACACATTTATAAACGTCTTTTTGGCAATTTCGCAAATGGCGCAGTCAAAGTTTGAATTTAAAATGTTTTTCAGTTTCATTTCACTCACAAAGTTGACTGTTTTCGCTTACAGCTCGTTAGGCAAACAAATTTTCATTGCAAGCGCATTTCAACTCTAACCTTTGCCAGGGCCAGCAATTTAAATATCGCTGTTGTTTTAATTGAAAACGTTTCAGGGCCTGCACAAAAATATTTCACTGGCTAATTAATTAAAAACACAAGATAAAAATTTTATTTCAGATGCAAACAAAGCTGAATAAAAACAACAAAAGCAACATCAACAACAAAAACTATACAAAAATATTCCGAGTTGTATGCAACAATTTTTAATTACGTCGGACCATTCTGTTAAAGTTGGCTTTGGCTTGTTATATTTGTTTTTCTGACTGTTGCGGTTGCTGTTGCGGTGGTTGTGGTGCCAGCTAAGCGTCGGGATGCTGCGGTGGACTAGCTTCTAAGCTCATAGTTTTTCTGTTTGCTTGTTAATAGCTGCCCACAAATACCTACCCTAACAAGACAGTGACAAACTGAAGGCGTACTAACCATGGCTGAATGACATAAAGACAGACGCCCTTAGCAGTTAATCTAGGTTGCTGCATTAACGATAATTAAATGTGACTGGTAATTTCTAGTTACTTAATTTTAGAATTTTGTGAGATCTGTGCAAGTTAAAAGGATGTATACATATATGCTTACATTTTAAAATTTACATTGATATTTAGAAAAAGTGAAATATAACCTTTTGTTGTTCTTGCTTCGGCAGAACATATACCAAAATTGGAATGATACAGAGATGATTAGCATTTCCCCTGCGCAAGGATGACACGCAAAATTTGAATCACTGATCCAGCAACACTTCTTTCCTCACCTTCTATCGAGAATATAAAATTAATAATTAAATACCTTCACAAAGCTCAGTTTTATGATGAAATTTATATCTTACTTACTTAGTTATGCCGCTACTTATTTAATATAAATACTAGATAACAAATATTGTTTAAGTTAAAAAACTACATATGTATTCTGTTTCTTTTTTAATTACTTGAACACACTATTTCATTGATTGTAATAGCTTAAGATCCTGGTAGTCATAGCTATTCAAACCCTGTTAGCTGTAAGTTTCTAACTTTAAGCTAGCATTAAATAAATAAATAAAAATAAAAACTTTTTGTTGCCTTTCCATAGATCAGTGCTCAATGCTTAGTTCAAAGGTATAAAGCAAAAGTGATTAATTGTCATTAGTTTCACATTTTTCTTCTAAGATATATTTACTCCGCCTCGGCAAGGCTCAAATTATTTATTTACTTTAATTTAAAAAACATAAATGTCGACATAGGCAAAATATTGAAAAGATGCAAGCGTCTAGCTCCCATTCGATAACAGCTGATATCGTTAAAAACTAGACTGAAATAGAAATTTGTAAGTCAATCTGTTGTGGAAGCCAGGAATACAATTAATCCACTGGCAAGAGCGTACGTTTTTACAAGTATAACACATTTTAATGCAATAACTATTTTAATTAATTGGGCATTCCTGATTTAGGTATGTTTTGATTTAAATTTTACAACATAACATTTGCTCAGTTCAAACAAAATGAAAATTCAATTGAAAGCAAACTAATAATATAGAGCTATTATAGTTTAAATTATTTAAAACAACCACATTGGCATTAAATAAATATGTATTATAAAAGTATATTCCTAAAATATTTAATCCTCTTAGTTGTATATTATTATTTTTTTACCCATATTTAACAACATAACTCGCTTATATCGAAAAGCGAACGAATTTATTTGCGTGCTGAATGGGAAAAATATTGCGCAGCTCAGCGCGTTTTTGGTTCGCTGGCTCTGAGATGCAACAGGCGTTGGCAGGCGGACACCTGAACGGTTTGTTGCGCACTCACGGGCTGCCACAGACAACGACCTAGCCACTGACCTAATTTAACTTGGATATGTACATATACATATACATCTATTTATGGGTGTGTGCGTGCTACTGCTGTTTGCCCTAATGCCGTTATTAGACCCAAAAGGCAGCAGCGCAAGGAAAAGTATGCTACTGTGATGGCATTGCTATTCTTCTTCCAGTTTTTGTTTGCTGCTGGGGCACAGGGCGCTCATAAAGCAAGCTAAGCCAGGCGCACATAATGATGAGCCCTAGACAAGAGACAGACGAGAGAACAGAAGGACGGGTAGTCGACAAGTCAACATCTCTCCCTTTCTCTGGGTAGATGTGTGCCTGTACCAAGTAAACAAAATCAAAGTGCAGTCTCACACTCGAGTACAGCAGAAGAGTCGAAAGGACTCACTCACTCATACATACACGTACTTGTACATACGTAGCACGCTTACCCGAAACACACGAGTGCGTGGATGGTCCGATAAGTAATTTCATGTATAGGAAATGCACCTGCAAAGGGAAAAAAGGTACATATATTAGATTAGTGCGAATGTATATTCTACACAGAAGAAGGCATGACAGATCCCACAATGCATTTATATTCGTGATAAGGATGACAAAGCGAGTCAATACAGCCATGTCCTTCTGTCCGTCTATATGAGCGCTTATTGCGACATGGTTATTGCTTAAAAAATTATAAGTAGAGGAATTCTTAGACTTCCTATTTATGTATTTGTAATAATGAATTTGTTCTAATAAACCGTGTAATAAAATTACTTTTTTCTTTAGTAAATACATACAATATACCATTTACCTGCCAAATCGGTTATTTGTCATACCAACCACTTACCTTTTAAGGCACAATGCCAAACAAAAAGATAGGAAGAGGGAGAAAGAGGGAACAACATACACAGACTGAAGCATGCACACTCTGGCACAGTGGCAATCATTTGCCACACACACACACGTAATCACGCATAGAGACAAGCAGGTGCTAATAATTTGCTGCATACTTTTGGGGAGCTGCTTGAATGAGCTTTCTAGTTTAATTTAAAATAATTACCTTTAAATGCGAGGAAAAACTACGCATATGTACATACTCGTATATGTGTGCGTGTGCGTGTGTGTGAGTGGCTTTTCTCAAATTTTCCGGTAAGCTGCCTGCCTTGCTTGTGTCTCACCGCACAATTATGTGTGATTTATGTGTGCATGTGTGCGTGCCTCTATCTCTCTCTCTCTGTCTGTGCAAATGTTGTTGCCGTGTGCAAGGAAACGATCCAACTGAGCGAACATGTCGAGTGGCATCAAAGCGTTATGTTGAAATTAATGAGCCCGTCCATTGCTCTACTCCATTGCCACATTCTTTACTTCCCTATGCGTCGATGTGTGGGTGTGTAGGTTTGTGTGTGTGTGTGCGTTTGGCATACAGATAAAGCCGGAAACGAGCTCAACCAGCAGCTGCCGGCCAATGTAAACCCACCCACACGCCCAGCTACAAGCAATACACAAACACACACCCTTATTAATAAATTTTCATACACATATGCAGTCGCATAAGTCACTCGCTTGCTGCTCGACTCATTTGGCTGGCAGCAGCAGCAGCAGCACTCAATGAATTTTTCACATTTCCATACGCTTTTCATGTGCTGCTGCCGCCAACAGAAAGAAGGCATTCGGTATTTATGACCGCCATAAACACAAGTCACAACTTAATACCTTATACTTATGCACTTTTATATAAAAGCCGACCGAACGGCCAACCGACCGCTTTTGTTATTAATGGCCACTGCCTTTTGTTTTAAAAATTTATTAAGCACTCGCACATTTGCGCGCCTACTACGTTTCCTCCTTTTCCCCATCCCCCATTCACCGAACTCTCTTACTCCTGTTTCGCTTTATATGCTGCACTTTAAACTCATCGCGGTCAATGCTATAATGAGCCTTCTGTTTTATTTATTTGCTTGTATGTCGTAGACTCTTTCTTTCTCCCCCTCTCTCTCTCTCTATCTCTCCCTCTCTCTTTCTCTCTCAGAATGTGTGTAAAATCCTTTGCTCTTGTGCCTGGTCACTTATATACATAAGTCCGAGTGTGTTGCCATGTTTGAGTGTCAGGGTACGAGGCACATTAAGTGAAAATTCTCCGAGGAGCTGCTGAAAAGGAACCGCAAACACATAAAGGCCAAATGGTCGTAGGTTGAGTTTAAAAGGCACAGACACACGTTCACAATGCCTGGCATTCAATTTAATGAGATTTTTAAATTGCCAGGCCAAGTGGTTTGTTGACAGCGACACACCGATACACACACTTCATTTTGCGATTAATCCCGCAAATAGCGATAGGCGACAAAATAAGCCAAACTTCTGCATACTATATACTTGGCATCGATTTTCCATTACCTTCTACTTTTCTCAATGTCTGCTGACTCTAATTCCCAGTGGATTTGCTTATATGCTCATTTATCAGATTTTAATTTACAATGTAAGAGGTATAGTTTCGTCACCCAAGAACCTTCATTATCACCAGCAACCGCTCTTGAATTGGTTTCGCTTGTTCACTAATAATAAAAACGTGCTGAAGCTCAAGACTTCTATTATAGAGCTAGGTGAATTTGCATACAAGTATTGCTGTTTTTTACACATCTATGTATTATGCGGGAACCTCCATAGACTCGTTATTACTATCATCGTTCCATCTAAAGTGCAACGCATGCTATGAGCGATGTCTAAGACGTCCTTGTAAGTTCCCTTTAATTCGCAGAATGTGATATTGACGCTATATAAAATGTTCTCCAACTTTAAGTCGGGTAAGGTTATTTTAATTCCTTTCAAATTAAGGACGCTTGAAGCTATTTAAGTCAGAAGTCACCTTACCTTATCAACAATAGCTTTTTTTGACAGAAGCCAAGAAGATTGATTTAAGGAGCCATTGATGTTATGCATACATATACATATTTAATGTATAAATATATTCAAGGAAATACTCGTATTATAAAAATGGTGAAAATTAATTTTTTAACCAAAAGAGCGTTTACAAGTATCGATCGATGCGATAAATTGATGTTTTGATTATGCTTAATTATATTACTAATAATTTCAATGAAGATTTTGGCTGATGTTTAATGAATTGGCAAATTGCAATTTAGACTTGTCCAATAGAAACTAATTAGTTATTATTATTGGACCGGATGATCGTTTGCAGGGGAAGTTAGCTACATTTGACATTTCTGTTATAAGTAGCAGTTGTTGTCACTCACGTCCAGCCGTTAACAAGGGCTGCCAAAGCCCTATTCCCGTTTACTTTGGAATGCAGCTTGAATAACATAGATACAGATATGTACATATGTACTTATTTATGTATAGTTTCAATAGCATTCATTTACTCCGAAATTGCATTTATGTGTGTCTATTTTGCGCATATATAGACCGAGTTGAGCCAAGGCAAGCACAACAGGCAGAGACAGAGATTATATTTATGGCTATAACATCCTTAAGAATTAACATAACACGATGAAACTTGATCTGACTACATATAGCATTGCCACAACGTAATTATATAAGACAAAAATTCCAAGAATTACGAGAGTTATGACAAATCATCAGAGGGAAAAAACACAAATCTGTCATTTAACTGACTTTGGTTTTGCTTGATTACTCTAGTACCTCGCATATTTTCTAAGATCCTTGCGTTCATTCAGACTCGCCTTGCCTAAAAACATTTTCAAAAGCAAACATGTTGTAAAGGAATTAAAATTCGTTTTCAGTTTCTTCTTTTCAGTTTTAAAGCTCCGCGGAGCTTTGAAGCGCGTCAGCAAAGTCACAGACCGAAAGCTGTACACTTTCAATTTACGCTTTCGCCGTACTCGAAAGCAGGCGACAACCCTGTCAGCCCACAGCATCCACTGCGCAGTTGTTCGAACTGTCAACCGGCGCGATGTGAAGCTGCAAGCTCTGCGCGTCTCGCCGCCCCTTCTCATTGCTCGCTTGGCTGCAACAGGACGCTGTTGTAGTATTTAAGTGAGAAGCCCTCATCGTCGCATGCTCAGTGGATTCTTGTCCTGCAGCAGAGTAGTTTTCGAGCTGTTAGCAGAGAAGAACGCGACTTGAACAAAGAAAGATGTTGTCGCGCGTTTGAAAAAAAAAATCGCACTAACACACACATACAATTATAAAAATAAGTGATAACAATAATAGGTAGAAATTGTAGAGTCTTAAATACACAACGACCACCTCAGTTCGATTTAAAAGGAGCTTAAAATGCTAACTGGCTGGCATCCGTGCATCCTTGGACTGCTACTCTGCCAAGTGGCGTTCAATTCGCGCTTAACACAAGCACTGCCCGATATCATCAAAATCGGTGAGTTCTGGTGCGGCTGAATATATCCTAAGAGGAAAAAGCCGCCTGCAAATATTATTCGAAAAGCGTTGCCAAAATACAAATACGAATTAGTGTCGTCGTCCGCCTCGTCCTCGAAACTACGCGTATCGATTTTTTTCACGTCATAATAAAAAGCGCGTGCCTGTGTTCGTGTGCGTGTGTGCTCATGTATATGTAATCGTATGTGTGTGTTTATGTTTTCGTTTGTTTGCCGCATCCGCACGGTCAATAGACTAAACACACACACACACACACAAATATGCATGGACATAAACACACACACACATACACCCCATCCCATGTCCAAATAGGCAAATTTGTATTTCCATTCCTGGGATGCGACAACGTGCACCAAATGATTTCATTGGTAACAACAATGCAATTTGATAAATCGCCGCAGGTGGCCTCTTCCATCCCTCCGATGATAATCAGGAGCTCGCCTTCCGCCAGGCCGTCGAGCGCATCAACGCCGACCGTTCAATATTGCCGCGCTCCAAGCTGGTGGCCCAAATCGAGCGCATCTCGCCATTTGACAGTTTTCATGCCGGCAAACGCGGTAAGTTGTGGGGTGGTTGGGTGGCTGGGAGTTGGGAGTTGGGAGCTGGAGGAAAGGCTTGTTTACCTTGCAGCTGCCACTCGCCAATGTGTTTTCTCTCTACAAGTATATATACACAAGTATGTAGTAGTAGTATAAGCAGAATGTGTGCCGGTGTGTTGTTTTTTTGGCAATCCCGGTTCATTTTCGTTTCGTTTGATTTGTTTTGATTAAAGCTGTCGCCTTTATCGCTGCTCGTCAATCCATTCGCTTGACTTTTGTTTTTGCCCTGGAAAATTTGATTTCATTTGATTTTTGATTTATTTCATGTACGAGCATGCACATACAATTGCCGCAGTGGGAGTGGGGTTGGGTGCTGAAAATCCTCTCAGTGTGGACAACTTGTTTTGCATATTTCACAGCAATTTGCGCAGTTTTTGTTTGTTTCGTTTGTTTATTTGTCTCGACGATTTGTTATGCTCTTTGTTGCTGCTGTTAATGGTCGCATTTCATTTGCAATTGTTGCACTTTTCAAACAATCATAAATCTTTCGTTCGCTCGCTGCGCTCCGTGGTTTGGGACCACAAAACGAATATATATACATATATTGTAGATTGTGTTTGGGGAGCATTTGCTGAATCGCAGACGCACTGCAAACTACAAGTATAAATGCATTTAGCATGGAATGCACTATTTTTGCTTTTTTGCTTGATAATTCAATTTATTAATTGCAATTACTTTTTTACTATCAAAAAACACTACAGAAGAACAACAAATTAATCACACTACTTTCATCGTTAGCAACATGCATTCGTGTCGTATAAATGATTTTGTTGATTATTTAGTTTTGGAATATTTTGTTAAGCAATTTTCTTGAATCATGATCAATGCATTTCCGGTGTGTAGAGGAAGTAGGGATTTGACGTACTACGGCAAAGTCTGTTCAAACGTGTTCCGTGATAAAATTTTGATAATTTCTTCATAGTTTGAGTGGATTTAATGGAACCCTTGATGATATTATTATTGCAAATAGTGTTATTAGTTGATTAGAATAAAAAGAAATAAAGAATGTCAATATATTATTAAATGCTTAATTTTCTTGTTCAAATTAAATTCTGTCCAGAATAAACCACAAATTACTTCTCATACTTGTATTGGCATACAAAGTAACTCCAAAGATAGTTGAAAAAATTATCTGTGAACGTTTTTTTGTGCAACCCATTTTTGTCAAGTATACATCAACTGCTTTCGTTGTGTACTGATTAGTGTTTTTTTTATTGCCCTGTCAATTGAAAAAGTCGTCATCAAATTCGTTACCGCCTTTTTTCTATGGTCGAGTTCTTGATTAAGTTTATTTCATCTGCTGTAAGAACTGTTACCTGACCTTTTATGAAACGCGGTTTACAGTTCCTTCGTAAAAGGCGACCACACCATGGCCGACGAACTTAGCTTTCTTTTCAGTTAGGCGCCTTAAAAGATATCCAACTTTTGGACAGTCGTTAAAATTCCAGGCTGTCGTAAAACAAGCGAAAAACAGCATCCGCTGTCGAACATTGTGATAAATGAGACACAAATAACGTCCCAGCTAAAAGTCTGCTTGCCCTGGTTAACTTAAAATACTTTTTGGCGCATTACTGAAAGCCAAAGTAAGACACTTTCATGGGCGACATGCAGGTGGGTTGCAGGTAGGAGCAGATAAACAGTAACGAGCGGGGCTAAACCAAAATACACAGGTGCATTATTAACCGCAGCATGAGAGCATAAGTACACATGGGTATGTAATGTACCCATCCACCCACCTATACCCTTATATAAATGCTGCTGCACCTGCACGTACAGAGCACATTTGATGTGAGCCTTGAAGTAGCGCCGACCGCCAGACCACACGAACCCATGGCATCGAGGCGGGCGGCATGTGAAACAAAATCTAGAGAGCAAATGGAATTATGTCATTTTGAAGAGCTATCTAAATATGCTATGACTATGCTAGCATTACTGCAACTAAGTACATTACTGCTACTTGGGCTCGTTCTGCCATAGAGAACCTCACATACACTGTGCCTCAGATTATCCGCTGGCAGTGCACTGTACACACATATACTATACATATACTTATATACATGTATGTATGTGCCTGTCGATGGGATTTTATGAACAGGCAACAGAAAACGCATTACTGGGAAATCAATTCGAAAAGGGGTTGGGGTGGAGGTCGGTTGCCAGCTGCCTTGGGGACTTGTATTTCACTCAATTTGCCATAAGAAAAATGCCCCAAAACTACTCCAAAGTTTAAGAGTGACTGCAAAAGTTTGGCAATTATCAAACTAGTTTAAAGCCAATTTATATTTGTACAGTCGAACTTCATTTTAAAAGAATCAACTGGTTAGCAAAAACAAGTTTAATACTTATATACTTGTACATACATTTTGATGCTAACAACCGCAAAGAAGTTTTTTATATGTTCCTATACAAAGATGTCCTTTATCTTAAAAGTAACTTGAAAGTAACTATGATTTTAATCAAAAAACGGAGCTCACTTTGAAATCTTTGATTCTGTTTTTTAGCTGTCAATAAAGTGTTTTGTCGAACTAACTTTCTTTCTATTAGAAAATTAAAATTCAGCACCAATAGATACATATACTATATATGTACGTGTATTGTTAAATTTGAACAGACTTAAAATACTTTTTTGGCGCTTTACAGAAAGCTTACTAAGTATCATAAACAAGTTCTCTAACGGTTTGAAGAGAGCATTTTAACTAATTTAATTTAGAATTCTGTGATATAGAATTATTTATTAATACCATACCAATTAAATTTAGAACTTGTAGAAAACATGATGAAAACATCTATCATCAATATTATCTTAGATTGGTTGCTTTTAATTAGCTTTGTTGGATTCGTTGGGATTGCTAAATAAAAAGATTATTTTAAATCAAAATCAATTAATATAAATTATAGTTGGGTTTATATTTTTCTTCAAAATTATTTGCTAACCTTCTGGTCCTGGTTTATTGTTATTTATTCCTTAAATTATCGATGTCATTGTTTTATCAAAATTATAACCAATTTTATACTATTTTTCCAGCACGATAAACTTTCTGTTTATTGCTGGGCATTCTTACATTTTAGTTCAACAACAAATTACAAAATGTTCACAACCATTACTTCTAATTTAGATGTATTTTGAAGGCAATTAAAACATCTTAACCGACTGTAGACAAAATCAAATTTAAAAGTCAATGTCCTTTTAAAACCCACTCCTTCGTGTGAGATCTCAAAGTAAAGAATCTAATAACTAACAAATGTAAGCTTGTGTGTCATTTTACCTTTCCTCTTTTGAGACTACTAATTGGGTTTGGAGGAGAACGCTTAATTAGAGAGAAATTACGTGCAATTGTATACTTATTCGTTGTGGGGGAAGTTAGTCTGTTATTCGAATATGTGTATCTATCTACATATGTGGCATGTGCCGTTCTGTTTTACAGTTTGCGGTTTGTTGAACATTGGCGTCGCTGCAATTTTTGGGCCACAATCCTCGCATACCGCCAGCCATGTGCAGAGCATTTGTGACAACATGGAGGTAAGTGGCAATACGGGAGAGGGGGCGCAGTCGGTTGAGTGTGTGAAGGCGGGCTCGGTGCATAAACAAGTGACATGTATTTTCACTGCAGCAGCCAGAGACTTAACTCCCCCCAGAGCATTCAAGTGTTAATAAAACCCTTTAAAATACGATTTGAATCTCAGATACCCCACTTGGAGAATCGCTGGGACTACAGGCTGAGGCGGGAAAGTTGCCTTGTGAATCTTTATCCGCATCCTAATACGCTTTCAAAGGTATGTGAAGGCAACATGCTAATTCCTATGCACACAATTGGCATACGGAGTGTTTCGATGCAAGTGTATTTCGCTTTTGTATGTCTTGTCTTACCCCAGGCTTATGTGGATATTGTGCGTCATTGGGGCTGGAAGACGTTTACCATAATCTATGAGAACAATGATGGGATTGTGCGACTGCAGGAGCTGCTCAAGGCACATGGCATGACACCGTTTCCCATTACTGTGCGTCAACTAAGCGACAGTGGCGACTATCGGTAAGTGGTCTGTCTACTTGACATCGTGGCACACAATGCTTGACACTCCCACCTCACTTTTTCCCCCGACAGACCGCTACTTAAACAAATCAAGAACTCCGCCGAGGCACACATTGTGCTCGACTGCTCCACCGAGAAGATTCACGAGGTGCTGAAGCAGGCGCAGCAGATCGGCATGATGAGCGACTACCATAGCTATTTGGTTACCTCGTTGGATCTGCACACTGTCAACTTGGATGAGTTTCGCTATGGCGGCACCAACATCACCGGCTTTAGACTGATAAACGACAAGGTCGTAACGGATGTGGTACGTCAGTGGAGCATCGATGACAAAGGCATGCTGCGTTCGGCCAATTTGACGACCGTGCGATCGGAGACCGCCCTCATGTACGATGCAGTGCATCTATTTGCCAAGGCTCTACACGACCTGGACACATCGCAGCAGATTGACATACATCCGATAAGCTGCGACGGCCAGAGCACTTGGCAGCACGGCTTCAGTCTGATTAACTACATGAAGATTGTGGAAATGAAGGGGCTGACGAATGTCATCAAGTTCGATCATCAAGGCTTTCGAACAGACTTTGTCCTGGATATTGTGGAACTCACGCCGGCTGGCATACGTAAAATAGGCACCTGGAACTCCACACTGCCGGAGGGTATCAACTTCACCAGGACTTTCAGTCAAAAGCAGCAGGAGATTGAGGCGAATTTGAAGAATAAAACGCTCATTGTCACAACTATATTGGTGAGTGTGGACAATCCGCGTATAATTAGAGCCATTCCATATTCTACAATTTCATCCCCATTGTTCACAGAGCAACCCCTATTGCATGCGCAAGGAATCGGCGGTACCGCTATCCGGCAACGATCAATTCGAGGGCTATGCTGTGGATCTTATACATGAAATTTCCAAGTCTCTAGGTTTCAACTACAAGATACAACTGGTGCCAGATGGCAGCTATGGCAGTCTTAACAAAATGACCGGGTAAACCAGACAATCTGCAGCATACGAGTATGAACTCCTCTCTTTAATATATATTTTCTTCTTACAGCGAGTGGAATGGCATGATTCGGGAGCTGTTAGAACAACGCGCAGATCTGGCCATAGCCGATCTAACTATCACATTTGAGCGCGAACAGGCCGTCGATTTTACCACACCTTTTATGAATCTGGGTGTTTCCATACTATATCGCAAGCCCATCAAGCAACCGCCCAATTTATTCTCCTTCCTCTCTCCCCTTTCGCTCGATGTTTGGATCTACATGGCCACAGCCTACTTGGGAGTCTCAGTACTGCTCTTTATACTGGCCAAGTGAGTGAAATTATAATGCATTCATGCATTCTGTTATATAAGTCTTATCTCCCGACAGATTCACCCCCTATGAGTGGCCCACCTACACGGACGCACATGGAGAAAAGGTCGAGAGTCAGTTCACTCTGCTCAACTGCATGTGGTTTGCCATCGGCTCGCTAATGCAGCAGGGCTGCGACTTTTTGCCCAAGTAAGACGATATAACATCCCAAAGCTTATATACTATGCATATATGTATAATCGACACCGTGTTCTTTGCAGAGCACTATCGACGCGCATGGTAGCCGGCATGTGGTGGTTCTTTACACTGATCATGATCTCATCATACACCGCCAATCTGGCTGCCTTTCTCACAGTAGAGCGTATGGACTCGCCCATCGAGAGTGCTGAGGACTTGGCTAAGCAAACCCGCATTAAGTATGGTGCGCTTAAGGGTGGCAGTACGGCAGCGTTTTTTAGGGTAAGTTATAAATCGAGGCTGGAATCTTTGGATCTATCTTTTCCGGAAGATCAGAATACATCATAAAGGCACCAAACTTAGTATGTAGACTCCCAAGCATCCGCAGGATAAAGACATATTCTTGTAAAAGACAGCTACATCAGTGATAATCCCTCTGATCTTACAGGACTCAAAAATCTCGACATATCAACGAATGTGGTCGTTCATGGAATCTGCACGGCCCTCAGTCTTTACGGGCAGCAACGGCGAGGGTGTTGATCGTGTGGCAAAAGGCAAAGGTAGGGCACAGAAAAATCTGTTATATACATATATATGTATGTCTTATAATATTTTTATAATAAACGCCCACAGGTTCCTACGCATTTCTCATGGAGTCCACATCCATCGAGTATGTCACCGAGCGGAACTGCGAATTGACGCAAGTTGGTGGAATGTTGGACACCAAGAGCTATGGCATTGCCACACCACCGAGTAAGTGTACACTAACGCCTTCTAAAGCCCTCTATAAATATAACCATTCTGACTGCAGACTCGCCGTATCGCACAGCCATCAATAGCGTCATACTCAAGTTACAGGAGGAGGGAAAGCTGCACATTCTGAAAACGAAATGGTGGAAGGAGAAGCGTGGCGGCGGGAAATGTCGCGTGGAAACTTCGAAGTCATCATCGGCTGCTAATGAGTTAGGACTGGCGAATGTGGGCGGGGTGTTCGTTGTACTAATGGGCGGCATGGGCGTGGCCTGTGTCATAGCTGTGTGCGAATTTGTGTGGAAGTCGCGTAAGGTCGCCGTCGAGGAGCGTCTAAGTGCCATATTGAATGAATGAGAAAAGTCGTAAACCCGTGATGAATGGGTTTAAGATCGACAACTTTGAACAAGGAATCAAACCATCAAAACGACACCAGCAATAAAGAGCGTACAATATATTTTGTATTTGTGGAAACGCCTGCATACCAATTCAAATTAAATTCAAGCAAATTCGCAGAAAGAACGACCAACAACTGAATACAACAATTTTGGCGTAAAGCCATCGGAGCTGTTTGAAATTATTAGAAGTTCTTATGAAGATCTGATATTTCTGGATCAAAATTCATAGACCGATATTATATGCTAAATACCAACTATATGTGAAATCCAATCGAAAATATACACAAAATACCTACACACATATAAATATATACACGAGAAAACAACATATATAAGTACATATAACAAAGGGAAATCGTATGCATTTATATTTGAAAGCATTTTTGGGAATTGTACTATAGATGTAATTGTAGCTAAATTATATACTAACATATATGTATATACTATATACGACAACAAATACTTTCATAGCTCTGTGTATCTGAGTATCTATGAGATTTACTTGTACATGCATTGGTTATCCCTGAGATACGTTCGTTACATGAAACAATTTGCACAATTTAAGCAGCAACAACAAAAACAAACCAAAAACCAGGGTTTTGCATTCTGCTCATTGTTGCGCTTAAACTCATTTAGTAAGTTAGCATTAAGTTTCGTCAATAAAATATCCCATAATACATTTGAACATGGTCTATTACTTATCTTTACACAAATTATAGGCAACGCACTAAAAGCTCCCTCCACTGATACCTGAGGTGCTGGCGTATCATGCGTCAGTCCTGAAGACAATACACAGCAGGTAAAAACAGGTAATACACACAAAACAGATTGCTGCAGCCCGACTATAAAATCCTCTATACCCGGGGGGAATTTGTATTTTTTCACAAATTCAGAATGTGTTGGCACATAGAGCTATATATATAATAAAAATAATAATATATTGTGTTTTTTATTTTATTTTATTTTAACTACAATTCTAACCAAATATAAGTAAACAAAAAATTTAAAAAAGAACAATTGAACGACATAATTAGATCTTAAATATTAATTTTTCATACTAATAAATCATTATTAGCGGTGCACGGAAGATTGACAAATTCAAATTTTAATCAGGTATCAGAAATACTCATATCATATAGATTCAACACTTTTCAGGTAGCCCGCCAACATTATAATACCAAAAATTTTAGTGTTTTAAAATATTCGATAATATATCGATTTCTCATGTTAGATATCATTATCGAAGTAATAAGCATCCCTAGGCGTCCAGCAATTCGTGCAAAATTCTGAAAATTGCAAAAAAAAGTACACAATTTGTATGTTTTTAAGGAACATAGACATTTGCTTCCATTTAAATTCGGTTTTACATATTTAATCATGTCGTTTTGGATATTTGTTCTTCGCTAAGTCACGAATCACTGTGTCAACAAAACGGTCGACATCATAAACCAGTCACAACGCAGCAGAAGAAAAAAGGAAATGTGTCCAATTTCAAAATAAATAATTGCAATTACAGCAATTTAAGCCTGGCTTAAATGATCTGTTAGTAGTCTACCAGCCGCTTATTCTTCAATATGTCTAGTTCGGTATTTACCGAGATTCCGAGCGGCAGATCAGCCGCCGACGGGGACTCGAACCTAGTTGTTGTTTATAGCAAGCATGGCATTACATTTGACAACCGCGGCATTGAAAAAATTATGGGTAAGTTTAATCATATTAATATAACATATACCAATTAAGAAGCAAACACTTTTCAGAAGAAAAATCGATCTCGACAATTAGTGTTGTCCGGCTTACGTCTCCAACGCCTAGCATGGTAGATGAGGAAGAAGCGGAACGCCTAGAAGAGCTAAAGCATTATCTGGAAACAGGCTCAGATCGAGATGACTCGGACAGGGATACTGATATCGCAAGTAGGAGTGGCTGTGAAGATGAGAAAAGCGAAAAGGAGCACTTAACTGGAGATGATAATGATGACAATAGTGTTGATCAAGATCACGATGACTCTACGGAAACTGAAGTAGAGGCGGCCAAAGCAAAAAAACGACCCGGCCGAAAACCGAAAGTTATCAAAAAACAAAAAAAGCGTCGGAAACTTAAGGAACGTCCGCAGATTGTAGGGCTGTCTGTAGAACAATTTTACACAGATAGTAACGCCGATCTGGTTGTAAAGAATGCTCTAAGTAATATTTAACCACTGTATATGCAAATGCACCTGTTTAACTTAATTCATTTCTAGAAATCGCTGGCCTCTCCATATTTAAACGAACAGCAGAGACTGATGCCCTGCTGGAAATAATCAGGAATGATCACAATTATACGCCATTCACATCGCCGGAACAAATGAAAGCGCACAAAAACGCTGAAAAACTAGATGCTGAAAGGCAACAGATACATGGAAAAAAATTTATTGTACAGGCGCCAGCTCATTTAAAAATGCAAAGTTCTAAGAAGCGAATTCAAGTTGTTCCATTTAGTCAAGTTCAAACGGCAGTACAGCAAAAGTTTGAAAGGAAGATGATTATTGAAAACCCTGGGTTGAGAATAATGCGAAACATTAGACCCATTGCCAAGACTTGTAAATTAGCTACAGATAACATCGAGGATAATGAAGACGCCCATACTTCAGTCAATGCTGACGATGAAAATGTTGATGCGGAGAAATCATATGACTCGGAGGACATCGAGCCAGTAAGCGAGCAAAGCGAGGAATCGCGTGATACGGACAATGATCGCGATAGCGATATTGACTTTAAAATGAATTATAGTCGCAACTCAACTAAACGGAGACGAGTGAAAAAGCTAACTAGGAGAACAAACGTGACTACAGCACGTAGTGCGGCGGTGGTGCATAAGCCTCTTTCACAACATTTTCCTCATATAAAGCGTCGAAAGCTCATGCAGGATGAAAGCTGCTATGCTGATCGACCCAAAACAATACTTCAAACAACTAGAGTATCTGTAGGACGTCCCGCGAATACCCAATATCCAAAAACCCCCAACAGCACAAAATCTTCGCCTACTATTTCTTCAAACAGTAAGCAACTCACACCTGAAGCACCCAGAATGGCTTCTCCATCACCCATAACATCAGCAACTCCGAGAATGCGCAGAACACCTGTCGTCCAAGTGGGTGCAATGGCGAAGACGACAGGGTCTGGCTCTTTACTGACGCCCCCACAAGAGGTTAAAGAGATTATCATAAATAAAAAACTGACCAGCCCTAAGGGAGTGTTCACGAATCTAAACACTTTGTTGACCGATAGCATTGAAACGGAATGCGTTCCGCGTCCAGTAAAACAACGACTGCTATTGGGATCTACAGGGCCGTATAACACAGCAATCACAACGGCTGTTGCATCTAGGTCGAGCACAATATCAGCACAATCATCTTCAAAAGGATTTATGCCTATTGAAGTAAACACGGCGTCATCACACAAATTACCCGCGCAGATTGTGATCGAGACCCATCAGAGCTCTTCTGAATTGGCAGCCGAACACAACCAACAACTTGATCTTATAAACTCAATAGTTCAGGATGAACTGCTCAAGGCTGATAGTGTGATGGAGAAGCAACCAACAAGTGCAGATGAAAGCATACCAAAAATCGTAAAAATGTTGGAAAACACGGTTGCGGGTTTGGATCAGGCCATGGCTCCCAATTCGAATAAAGGCGCATCATTTGAAGACCCCACGACAAATGATTGCCAGAACATTGGTGTTATTGATGACATTGCGACTCCATTGTTGGCAACCCCAGACGAAGATGAAATAACGGCTGATTTTCTCCAGCATGTCGTCGGACTTATCGAAGAAGACAAACAGTTTGAGGCCGAAGTTGTCAAACAAGTGCTGGCGAGTGCAGATTCTGGAAATTTAAACATTGGAGGAACCATTGATACAATAGAAAGTGTTGCTGCGCTACCTAGTAATCCCTCTATATTTAATGCTGAACGGCCGTTAACCCAGGTATCCATGAATCAGGTAAATATGTGCTGAGTAACTTTTTAACGAACTTTTTACATATTCATATGTATTTCCAACAGCCCCCAGCTTTTGGAACTAATGTCATGTCGACCGATCATCAGCCCATAGCTTGTAGTACGCCATCGCGAGTAATAGCACCACAAGCTGGAACAACTCCAATCAATTCTGAGACAAAGATTGTACGTGGTAATGGCCGTGTCATTTATCTTCCACCCATAGAGGCGCCCACAACGCGCGCTAAACGTCGGGCTCAAAATATATCAACTGATCTGAGCAACATCAGCATTCTGCCGTGCGAATCAAACCGTGTTAACAGTCAAATAAAGAGTACAAGCTTTGACAACGAGAGTTTTGTTGCACAGTCTACCGCAACAACAAGCAATGTTAGCGGTATCCGATACGCGCCTAAAGAAGATATTGTGAACACAAGAATGATGTCTGGGAGACCAGTTTCGTCAAGATCAAGCAAACAGAGCACTGGCCAAGCTAATGATACAGAAGCATCAGAGTCTCAGGAGGATGACGATGACCCAAACAAGTAAGCAAATCCTTACTCCTTATTGTTTATGCGTTAACGACTTCTTTCAGATTATGGTGCATATGTCGCCAACCACACAACAATCGTTTTATGATATGCTGCGATCTGTGTGAAGATTGGTATCACGGCACATGTGTTAGTGTAACAAAAGCTATGGGTCTGGATATGGAACAGAAAGGCATTGATTGGAAGTGCCCCAAATGTGTAAGGGTTCAGGAGGAGAAGGTAGTAAATAGAAATTTAAAGATGTTTGCCTACTATTCAGCACTTTGCTTATATTTCAGACACAGCCCCGAATAACTGATATGCTGTTAAATAGGCAACCCATGGACGAAACTCAAAAGGATTCACATCTAAAGTCGAAAGAGAGTGTTGATATAACTAACCAACCGACCGAAGTAAAATGTGTACCTCAATTAATAAAACAGTCTTCGATGTCGACTTTGCTGGAGCCTGGCAGCAACGCACCGTCAAAGAGACGCTTACTGCCTGTTGCACCTGTAAAACTTGATGTCTTAACACCACAGCAGGCAATTGCAAGCCGAGAGCTAGGCAATGCAAACGATAAGCAGCACGGTCAAATGCTAGCTATGAAACTTAAGGTATCAGATAAAATGCAACAACAGAAGCTGAACTTCCCGAAGCTGAGTTGCAAAATGTCGGACACGTTGGAGTCCAGCTGCATCGTGTGCAAGAGGCCATCGCGAAGCAATTCAATCTACTGCAGCGACGAATGTATACGGAAATATGCCCAATCTGCTATCCAAACGCAAAATGTGACTAAAAGTCCCGAAACCATACACTCTTCGGTGATGGTGCCCGCTGGATTGGATGTCAAGAAGAATAAAAAGAAGAACCTTTTTGAAGACATGTTACGCCAGGCGGATTCATTGTCCAAAGTAGAAAGGGTGTGTCAGCAACGAGAGCTAATGCGAATGGTTTTAATATTTAACATATATTTCAGATTAATGTTTTTGAACGTAAAACTGGACGTGTAATTTGTGGACAAAACGCGCCGACCGTGCATCAGCTAAAAAAGTGGCTACAGGAAAATCCTACATTTGAAGTAGTGCAACCCGGCAGTATTGAAGCTAAAAAAATAGAGGTAAGGACCTAACCCGTTATATAAAAATAATGTAACAACTGTAAGGTTGACGTAGAAGTAAAGATAATATGTAGGTGATAAATTTTTTCCAGAAACGTCAGCAGAACCGGTTGGATCAGTCATCAAATGGTCCTTCCTTTATACAAAAATCGAACTGTGTTGTAGTTACTGCGCAGTCACATACACCAACGAGGCAGTCCGAGGCAGTAAAATCTTCTCAAACGTTGCTAACAAGTCGAACATCATCCAGCCCAAAAACTGTCATTTCAGAAATGCGTTCTGTTGAAAGAAAGGATAAGAATAACACCAAGACTAGGGACTTCTCCAATACTCCTCGTCGTACGGCGGAAAGGGACATTGACATCTCCAAGCCAGAGCCTATACGCATAAATGTGCGCCGCACTCTAATGGAGCAGTTAGTTTCCCGCATTAAGGAGGCACAAGCAATGGACGCGCAAAGTGCCATGTCATCTACACCCAGAGAATGGCTGACTGTCGAGGAGGTGGAAAGCTTTGCCAACTCTGTAGAACTTGAAATGTACAATTCATTCAACCGTGATGTCGGTGCAAAATACAAGTCCAAGTATCGCTCACTGATGTTTAACATTAAGGATCGTAAGAACAAAACTCTGTTCGAAAAAATATGTGCGAAACAGATAGAGCCAAAACAGCTTGTGAAAATGACACCTGAGGAGCTGGCCAGCCAAGAGCTAGCCAAATGGAGAGAAGAGGAGAATAGACACCAATTAGATATGATTAAAAAATCCGAGCTAGATATGATAGCGTGTTCTAAAAATTATATGGTTAAGACTCATAAAGGTGAAGAAATCATCGAGACGAAATTAAATGTGACTCTACCAGATGAAAACCAGGTGGAGATGGACAGTTTTGAAGTGACTAGGTCACAACCCAGCGAAATAAGGAGCAGCAATGAAAAAGACTATATGGTTGGCCCTGATACCGAGGGTACGAGTTCAGCAGAGAAAAACTCTGCATTGGGAAAGGATGCAGAAAAAGAGAAGCACAACAAGGTACGCCCTAAAAGCAGTGAACGAGATAGGGAACGGAATAAAGAACGTAAAAAACATAAAAGTCATAAGCGAAGTCACCACCAAAGTAATAAAAGAAGTCGAAGTCGGTCAAGCAGCCGCGGTCAGAGCGTGGAAATGCGACATAAAACTGCTCCACGTCGTGAAGATCACCAAGATGGCGATCACAAAAAGGCTAAGGACCAAAATATTTTAAATGAAAATCATGAATACCCTGAAGTAATAGAAAAAAGAGAAAAGTCGCCACTTCGTCGAATAATAACTGAGAAGAAACAGGAAGAAGCAAGCCCAAAACCGCCAATTTATAATTTGGTAGATCAAATTCTTGAATCTGAAAAAACTGTCGAGCAGGCAGCTAATTTAGTAGAATCCTCAAAGGCCCCAAACAAGGTAGGACCTCCCGTATTTACAACCATTCCGACTGCATCAAATCTATCTACCAACCCGCATCCGGACAAATACTCACGTTATATGCAGGGACATCCTTCACGAGCCCTGTGGTCGGGCAGATTGAACATGGTTGATGTCGCCGACTTCCATATAGTTATTCATCCCGTAAATGGAAACTCTCAGCAGCTCGTTAATCGTTTTCCGCCAAACTTGGAAGTCATTGGTCGGATTACAAGCGAAAATGTCTGGGACTACCTTAAAAAGATTAAAAAGAGCCCCACAAAGGAGATTGTGACAGTTGGTCTATTCCCCTCTAGCCCCTCTGAAGTTGATAGCTTCAAACATTTCTTTCAATACCTAAACTCTCGTCAACGCCTTGGAGTTTTAGGCGCAGATCCCGAAGAAATTCGCGACTTTTATATTTACCCCTTGGGCGAAAGAGATAAAGTACCTAGTGTATTACGAACTGCAGATCACGAGCCGTTTTACGATAAAGATCACAGGCCCAACACCCTCTTGGGTATTATAGTACGCTGCATTGGAAAACGTCCCGGGTTGCTCAATTCATCACCACAAACACTCCCCACGTCGAGCGCAATCAGCAAGCAAGTAAAGGTAAGGTATTGATTATAATCATTTGAATTATTTAAGTTTATTTGAATATTTAATTTTTTTAATTGAATCATCCAGAAAGATTCCCTAAAGTATATAAGCTGTGGAACTTCAAAGTCCAGCAAAAGGCAAATTTATGTTTTTCTAACTTTTGGGAACAGGATGATATACTTACATTTCATTTGCATTAATTCAGTCTGCAAAAGTCTGGATGGTAGGATTGGGGTGCATCGAATAAAAACATATGACATGCCCTTCCTAACAAAATCCGTCATAAATATTCTTTAGTTTGAATTTTTCATTTAAACCTTCCGCTGGTATTTTCTTCTTAAATTGTATTTGAATACTTAATTAATTAATAATATTTTCGGGTATTTATGTCGTAATATATACAACTAAATACTTAAATTCTTTTTTATTTTTCAGTTGCCGCATAAGCCACGTGCTACAATTAATACTACACCTCCTCCAAACAGTCCGAAGCGAAAGCGTAGCAGGCACTCGACCAGCTCAAAAGACGACGAATTTGATATTGATGCAATTATTAAAGCCCCCATCGTTGCCAAAACTAAAAAAAGTAAGTAATAGTAACCTTTTTCCAAGCAAAAAAAGAGCATCGTTTGAAGAAAACACATTAAGAGGGTAAACCATTTTTTGTAGGAATTTCTCAAAATGCAATATTTTTTTGCACTTATATCTAGCAGTGCAATATAAACGACTTTTTAAGATGCACAGTCTGAATACTCTTTCGTTCGACGTAGACTAGGGCACAAATATGTATCTTGCTAAGTTTTCTAAATATTAATAATTATTATACTGAGTATGTATATAGAAAATTTTGTTTACTTTTATAACCTATAAATTATAAGTGATATGATTGGATCTGTTAATCAAATTTTTACATTTATTTTGTTTGATATTTGGTATATCGTCTGAGATATTATTAGTTTATTCTTTCTGGTATTTTAGTCGATTTTTCTAACACTGAAATATTATGAAGTTCTGTGACTTCTTCACGAGTTTTACGGCAGTTTTTCATGAGTTCTTCCGAGTTGCTCTATGAACATGAGACATCGGGCCTTATAACCACTACACGAGTTAAGAAAATATACTAATATCGACTCATTTCATCATATTGATCAAAAATATATAGATATACTTGTATATACATTTTGAATACTAATTTTGGCTATTCTACCTCTTATACTTGGGTAGAGGGTAAACAAAATTCGCAAAATTTTCGTGATTTAATATTTGTGTACTAAATAACTGGGTATATTGCGAGCAAATGCATACTCTTCTTCGTTCGTGATTGCCAATAACTGCTTAATATAAAATATTGCTTTACAGTTAATACTGATTTATCTGCCAGTGTGGAGTTGGGCCAGGAAGACCCCAACGAGCCGTATTCGCCAGGTGGGAGCTCAGACGATGACTTACCAGCTACAACCACCAATAAATATGACTTAAAACGCAAGGTAGAAGAAATTAACAAACAAATAGCTGCGCAACAAATTGAAATTGCTGGATTGCTGCATTCTGCAGAGCCGCCTGTAAGTGGATTTTTTTTGCCTTACCTCTTATTTGATTGCTGTTCATTCTCCTGGTTAGGTGTTGGAAACGTCTAATGTGCTTGCGGGAATTTCAATTCCTCCAAATCTATCAAGCATATTGGCCCGAATCAAGGATAAATCGGAAGTTGTTGTTAAAGAAATGCCGACCTCTGACGATATATACAATCCCGAGAGTACGATCTCCTCAAACAGCTCATACACTCTAGGTATGCAGAATAGAACTACAAAAGATCTATTGATTAGGCAGCGTAATACAATTTTTTTTTTGCTTTACAGCAGAACAAGCGAGAAAATCGACGAGTCGCTTGGCGCAGCTAAGTGAAGCTGAGCTTCTTAGCATGGTGCCAGATGATCTTATAGATGTCGCGCCCAAATCGTCTACTAGATACGAGGAGCCTCCGCCGCCAGGCGTTTAGTTTAAGCTGAAAACAGTTAAAATTAATCTAAAGTAGCTTTAATGTGCGTGTGAATGATGTTACTGTCAGTTCCAATAGGATTCCTAAAATATCTCTTTGCATACTTGTTATTTTTGAGTTTCCACCAAGTAATATTTTAATGAATTCATTCTCCATTAAATATATAAATTTTAAATCCCTTCGAAAACAAACCTTGTTAGTAGCCCTTCTTAAACGTTTATATCTGAAACCAATTTCAATCAATTTGATTTTGTTAATTTTTACTGAAAATTGTTCCACGTAAAGCAGCTCTAAAAACCCGCCTGTATTATATATAAAAATTGAAATAAGAGATGTGTTTACCACCTCGCCGCCAAAGTTTTTTAATTATTCTTGCTTTATTAGCCAACTGGAAGTCTCTCTACAATTTTGTAAATGTTTTAACAACTCATTCAATTTTAAAAGGGAAGTATACGTATGACATATTGTGATTTAAAAGTTAATCATTATTATAATTATGATTTCTCATGCGCCTAAATAACAGCGCACGGATCTTCACCTTCTTTGGCGCTGAAATGGGCGCACGATATTTTGGGACCATTATGGACGCGGGGTATGGCGATGCGGAAGAGGTTCCCTTGTGGCATACAAACACAAATCTTATATTGTACGCTGCCTGTGCGCAAACCCAGCTCCGAACTAACGATCGGTATACGGTCCATATCCAGAAATATGCCAGAGCCAGCTTCCAGGACGGTAGCACCTTGCGTTGCGTTGATCGCGACATGGTGCTCGGCTTGCAGGAGAGCATTTGCCGCATCCAACGATATGCCCTCGGATCCCTTGATTGCTATACGACCATCACTCTCCAAAACTAATGGTTCACTAATAGGACTGGTAATTCGACTGGCGCTGACAGCTTTGGCTTTGAGAACATCGACACCTGCCGGCATGTTGTACTGCGGCCGATGGGTCGTAAAAATAGACAAACGCCCATCCGGGTCTTTGACCTCAAACAAATTTGTGGCACGCACTACAATTCCGTCCTTGTCAAGCACAATACGGTCACTCGGTACTCCATTTCTAGCAAAAACCCGCACGTGCACACCACCGCCTTCGCCTCCAATGGTTACTGGTATGTCGGTGAATCCCTCAATTTGACCAAACGACTTGGTGAATACTCGATCCAAGTCGGTAGATCCATAAAATTTGAAAACATCCAATTCAGGAATTAGTTCTATGCCCTGTACACCTTTGCCCAAACGTAACACACCAATGATTGTTAGCGTCAGAACTAAATTGCTGACAGTCAAGACCAATAGAATCACAACCACGGTCCAGAAGGCAAACGTGTTACGACCCTGACGAGATGGGTGCATGTGAGAACAGATTTCACCGACGAAGGAATGCGATTTTTTCTCCTCAAAGCAGCCAAGTGCGTCTGCTTTTGACCCAATTTCAGAACGGCCAAAATCTACTACTGCACCTATAGGCAGTGAAAGGGCATTTTCCGAGGAATCCGAATATGATGGCGAAGGACCTCTTACAAACGTATTTTCAAAACTTTGCATTTTCTAGCACGAGCTAAGTGTCGCTTTTTTATATAAAAGATCACACCTTTTCAACCAATTTATTTTCGTAAGTACATACTTGTACGATGTGTATCTAACAATACAAAAATAATTTGGATACAATTTTGGCACATGCGCAATGCTGGGCAATACTTTTATTTAGAAGCGTATGAATTTAATTCAAAAATGTACCACATTTCGGAAAATAAGGACAAAAATATAACTAATATGCTTCACATAAAAAGTGAAATTTAATAAAGTCGGGATAAGGGAAGATTTGTCGACCCTCAATGCCGGCTTATAACCATAAAAGAAACAAATTTATGTTATAAAAGCTTCGGCTCATTGTTTTCTTTGCTACCTTTTCCTAAAATGTTCAAGGTAAATATTTATATTGCTAGTATATAAAACTAGAATCGATGCTTTTTTTCAACAAACATAGATAATACGTGAATACCGATTATGGCAGATCACTCACGCAAGTTAAAACTGTCGTAGGAATAATGTGATTTCAAATAGCTTATGTGTTAAAAGCTAGCTTATCTTAAAAGATATAGAAACCAAGAGCAATCGTCAACATGTTAAATTATGAGTTTTTGGGTTATGCGAATACCGAACAATATCACAATACCTAACAAATCACATTCATGAATTTGAAATTGAAACAGTCCCGACTTGAACGGTTCAATGTATTTCCGAGCTCACATAGCAGTTGGCTTTCACAACATGGTGAAATTTCTTTATCCCTTCAGTTTCAATTTTATTAATACCAAAAAAACTGAAATTGACAAATTCATATGTTATCGACAATTGTTTGCAAAAGTATGAGAAAGCCATGCTCAAAAAAATTAAAATAGGATTAGTAGAATACCCTCTTAATTTCAATTTACAAAATCGATTATTTTTATTTTTGGGAGCTTACAGCACTGACACACTTCCATCGATAACAACATACTCGATATTATTGACGGAAACTTTTTTTTGTGAAATGTCCTTTAAGGTAAGAGGTTGACTTGTACTGGGCCTAGGATTATTAAAATATTGGAGAATAAATCTTATTTGTATAGCCAATTGACCCAAAGCGCGATGAGGTTCGCCGCTACCTAGAGCGGGGCAGCGTTCTCGATTCTCTTACGAAAATCTTTATACGCATTATTAAAGAGCGTCCGGAGAATCCAATGGAATATATTCGTAACAATATTGGGGTTGTGCGTCACCAACACGATAAATATGAGCGACTCCAACAGGACCTACAAGTGGCCAATAAAGAAATCCTACGCTTGCGCGGTATTATAAATAGCATAGATCCACAAGTGCTGCAGGAGCCGCCCCAACATCCTCCTATTCCAGTTGACATTGAGACCAACCTTAATAATTTCGAGCCAGGCACCATTCCAAAAGAGGAGGACCCAACTAGCTATGAGCACACCGAGGAAGCCAATGTTTTCACAGCTGAACTGAAAAACGAAGACGGCTTTGCAAATGGTGACGAAGTATTAGCATCTGCTGTGGATAACTGTCACTTGGATGACGATAAGGCCACTCAGAGTGAAAGCTCCAATCAAAATATATCGGTCCGAGTAGAACAAGGCAGCAACGACAACACTGAATAATTTAAATTTTGTACACACTCAACTATACTCAGTATTGCAAACCCATTTAAATACATACTTATGTATATTCTAAACAAGTATAAGAATACAACATGTAGCATACTTTTTTAATATAATAAAAAGTGAATTCCAAGTAATTATGGCTCTTTCATGAAGCGCCTGAATTATCCTATTCATCAAAATTCTCATTGGTGGTACTCCATATATTTATTGAAATAATTTCATATTTTACAAATGTATTTTATTCTTTTTTGATAATACAAACGATTACTGATATTACATTTTTATTATAGATGATTTTAAAAACACATCATAAAATATATGAAAGAAGGATGAAACGATAAAGTTCACGGGCGTAGTGTACATGACTAAATTACCGGGTTATTTGAAGTTACTCGAGTGATATTTGATTTTTTTTTTCATACAATGGGAACGAGCTAAAGCCGACCTACTAAAAATCAACTTAAAGTTTTTTCTTGGCAAGCGTTTTTTATTTTTTAATATATCGTGTTGATTTGTTGTATACTTAAGGCTAAGAAATTTATAGAGCTCTCTACACTTTTAATATTTTTACCTGTCAACTCTGCTCTAATTTTTGCTGTACTGAAGACATAAATCTGATGGAACATGGTTTAGGGATGTGTATATGAATAATGGTATGTGCTTTTGCATACAAATAAAATAAAAATAATGGTATCTTTTGTTGACTTTATCAAATGTTAAATTGGTTTGTGAATGCAGATTTGTAACCGAATCTTGTTTTCGTAAACTTTCATATGTTGTTGTCCACGTCTACGTTCTCATGCTCGCCTCACTGTCATCATTCCTTCTGGATGTTGTTGAAATGGGATTTACCTGTTATTAATTTAAAAAAAAATGTATTTTTATAGTTATTCCACAACTATATAATTCGTACTTACATTTGACCATCATCAGATGTGTTTAGGCTTTTAAATTGTTCTTTTTTTATAGAAAGACTTAATAGGTGGTTTTACTTTTTGCGTTTGTCGGCTGGCTTCAAAATTTGAAAGGAGCACATTAATGAGTCATCTACCGACATCATAGCGCCGGCATTGTCAAATTCGCCGCAGTAGTTTGGCGCCGAGAAAAGAGTAACCAACTGGCGTTTTGCAAAAAATTCATACCCATCCTCCACCACTTGATGGGCCCGACATATGAGATCGAACTCGTGTTTTTCTAAGAATTTGCCAACAACCTCTGCGCCAAAAGTAAAACTCACACCACGATCGTTTTCGCCCCAGCCCATAGTGTCCTTGTCCGGATCCGACCACAACAAGTCACACAAAAGACCCTGGTCTGGCACATCAGTGGGACGCATAATGCGTCTTATCTGCTCCATTGAAGTCAAGTCTGGGCTTAGACCTCCATGACAACAAAATATTTTTTCATCAACAATTGCGGCAACTGGCAAGCAGTTAAAACAGTCGGTAAATGTCTTCCATAATTTGATAGTGTAACGGCGTTTGCACTCATCGTAGAATCCGTAGATGCGGTTTATACTGGCACACTCATGGTTACCGCGCAGCAAAAAGAAGTTCTCAGAGTATTTGATCTTGTAGGCCAGCAACAAACAAATGGTCTCAAGGGACTGTTTGCCGCGATCGACGTAGTCACCCAGAAACAGGTAATTAGATTCCGGGGGGAAGCCTCCATACTCGAACAAGCGCAGCAAGTCATAGTATTGACCGTGAATATCGCCGCAAATCTTCAAAGGTGCTTCCAGCTCCAGCAGTATAGGCTGCGAGAGAAATATCTCGCGCGACTTTAAGCAGAGGCCTCGAATTTCACTCTCCGAGAGTTGAACATTTTTGCCAGGCCGTGCCCCACGCACTTCCAGAAGTCTCGAAATAATGCTGTCGATATTCATTACATCGCCCATGATTGAAGATGTATGTATGTAGCACTGCAGAATACTTTTGACAGAAGATATTTTACACTTATTTTCACTTCGTGTTCTGATAAATTTTCACAGGCTACTGTAACTATGAAAAAACTAACCGAGTGTGTCCATATCTCGCGAAAAACAGAAGAACTGAAATAGACAATACCCAACGCACATCTGTGCTCTCACTCTCACCTGCACAATATGTGTTAGAGTAGTAGCGGTGAACGAAATGTATCGTTCTTGTGACATGGTCACAAATGACAGGCCATAGAGAAGACACATTTCTTTGTTAAGGTTAGTGTAGACCTCGCGTTAAAATAAAATATTTTAATGACTCAAGCGAAAAAATAGTTGTTTTTAGCTTTATCGTCAAAACGCACCCCAACAAATTTACTGAAACAAAATATTTATTGAAATATATATTTTCATAAATTTTAAGAATTAGTAGTAGTTTTACTGTGTTTTCTAAAGATTTGTTTTAAAAAGCGTACTGAAAAAAAAAATTTTATTGTTGTTTTTTATTACAGTTTGTTTGTTTTAACAGTTATATAGTCAATTTAAAACGCATTGGGCAATTTTGTTCGAATTTTCTCTATTACAGCTTTGTATTAGAATTTAAATATACGTAATTATGGATTTTAAAAAAGCTTAAGCAGAACTTACATTGATTTCATCTAGTATTTCAAGCTAGTGTGACACTAATAAAAAATGGAAAAGGCGCATGGCAAGTACCTTCTGCACATATGTTGATGTCTGATATCGATATCGAATTGCTCCAACAAAAGGGCTATGAAACGATATTAAAATAGTCTGAAATTACGTGAATAAAAAGATGTGGTCTGACACAATTCTGATCGTTTTCATATCCATATGCACTGCATTTTTAGGCGAAGGCTTAACATGGGTTTTAGTTTATCGGACGGAAAAATATCAAAAACTTAAAACCGAAGTCGAAAAGCAGAGCAAGAAACGTGAGCATGTTTTTTAATGTATGATGTTCATGTGTATGCTTTAACACATTAATGTTAATTTCCAGTTGAACGTCGAAAGGAGATACATGGAGACTCACTAGATAAATCAGTGAAGAAAAAAATCGAGCGCGATGAGGAAAAACTCAAAAATAACAACCGTGACTTGTCCCTCGTTAAGATGAAATCCATGTTTGCTACCGGTTTTGCATTTACGGCGCTTCTAAGTATGTTTAATAGCATATTTGATGGGCGCGTCGTAGCACAGCTACCCTTTACTCCTATCTCATGGATACAGGGGTTAAGCCACCGAAACCTTGCTGGCGATGATTTCACTGACTGTTCATTTATTTTCCTATACATTCTTTGCACTATGTCGATACGCCAAAATATACAGAAGTTATTAGGATTTGCACCTTCTCGTGCCGCTAGCAAGCAAGGTGGTGGACTCTTTGGACCAACGCCGGGACAATTCAAGTAGAAAATATATCCAACCTTAGTCAAAATTACATTGATTTTTCAAATGTCCTAAACATTTATAATTTAAATTAATAAGTAAAGGAATACTAAACATTTGTTATTTTAAAATATCGTTTTTATGAATACTCAAACGTATAGGTGTGCGTAAAGTGTTCAGTACATTTAAATGTAAATTTGTACGTATTACTTGCCTGTCTGTCCGTCCGTATGAACCACCTGAATATCAAAAAGTAGGAATGTCAATAGGAGACACCACTTTTCAACATTTTACTTCGTCCCCCTCTTTTAAAGACTTTCCCTAAATCCTGAATTTTTAACTCAAATTTTGCAAATATCTCTCCACTACATATTATTCTATCTGGTTCAACGTCTTATTTTCATACAAAGAATTTTGGACTCTAGTTATTAGTCAAAATTAGTTCAAATTCAGTCTATGTTGTATATTGCAACATGATACCGAACCAACTATACTTTGTAAGTCTACAAAATAGTTTCTATCGATATCAAGTTCATCAAATCTACTAACGATCACTTTAAAACTCACGGTTTCGATTAAATATATTAAAAGGGCGGGGCCTTCAATTGTCCAATTAAAAGTAAAATATCATAGTAACATGATGCTTACTGATATATTGGAAAGAAAGATAAGAGACTCAGTATATATAATTGCTGAAATTGGACAGAATCATCAAGGTAAAGATTAACGGTGTAAAGGGGAATATTTTATTTTGTATTGTTCTTTAACAAGGATGCCTCGCGGTCGCTAAAAGTATGATTTTAAGGGCAAAATCTATTGGCTGTCATTGCGTGAAGTTTCAAAAATCAGATCTGAAGGCCAAGTTTACGCACTCAGCTCTACAGCGCCAATACGTAAGCGAGCACTCTTGGGGCAGTACTTATGGGCAGCATAAAGAATATTTGGAGTTTTCCAAGGAGCAATATCGAGAGTTACAATCCTTTTCCCATGACATTGGAATCGATTTTACTGCATCCGCAATGGATGAGGTAAATTATGGAAATTTTATAAATGGTATATGGAATATGAAGTTTTTCTTTTATAGCGCTCTTTGGCATTTCTGGAAGAATTGAAGGTTCCTTTTATCAAAATTGGTTCCGGTGATGCTAACAATTTTCCATTATTAATTAAAGCTTCCCGACTCGAAACTCCTCTGATTATATCCACGGGAATGCAGAATATTTCAACAATCGATAAGATTGTTGAGATTATGGGGCAAGCTGGTGCGTACGATAAATAATCTCATAATTAATACGGTAATTATACATCAAAGTAACACCAGGTAAGGACAACTTTGCTCTGATGCATTGTGTTTCAGCATATCCTGTTCCGCCAGAGGCTTCCAATGTGGGTTTAATTCCAATGTTTATAAACCGATACCCTAGAATAGTTATTGGATATTCTGGACACGAATTAGGCATTGACATCACTCAGGCAGCTATTTTATCTGGTGCTAGAATTGTTGAGAGACATTTTACTTTGGACAAGGATCAAAAGGGCTCCGACCACTGTTGTTCCCTGGACCCACAAGAGTTTAAATCTTTGGTCGATCGCATAGAACGATTAAAACATATCAAAGTTTTACAAAAGAACACATACTGTGCCGCAGAAATCTCAAATATTTTGGGAGACAAACTAGAACTGAAGGAAGCATTGAAAGACATAACAAAAAAAGAAATTCAGGAATGTGAATTGCCTTGTCAACGTAAGCTTGGAAAAACTATAGTAGCCAGTCGAAATCTGAAAAAAGGACATAAGCTTCTAATGGAAGATTTAGCGATTAAGGTCAGCGAGCCAAGCGGAATTCCAGCTGAAATGTATTTCCATATCATTGGAATGGAACTGATTGAGGAACTCAATGAGGATGATCCAGTGATTGCAGCGGTGTTGTCCAGCGTTGAGTAAATAGTTAAATAAATACACTTATGAATGCATGTATTTGTATAAATATTTCCACATTAAAAATATGTTTATTTCTAATCTGCTGCATCGTCGCTGCCAACTTCGTCTTGTTCGATCATTTCAATGTCTTCCTCAATATCGCCTTCTTTTTTGTCAACTGGTTTTTCATACACAGCTGAGAGTGGTGACACTACGACTCCATTCCAAACAGACATTTCACGCACAATGCTTGTGTTTCCTTCCATTCCGAGGATATGCTTGTACCCACCATGTGCCAACACTCGCAATAGAGTTTGCGATGTATAACAGCATATGTCCTGTTGTTCCAAAGTCATGGCTGTGTGGACACGAATGTGGCCTGGTTCTGTTGGGTCAGTTATGCCAGCTGACCCTGGCAGAAAAAGTCCTGCCGACAGCAGTTGAAAGACACGCCTGAAGGCCAAGTTTATGGGCAGTGCCTGCCGGGAAGGGTTGTTCATTATTGCTAAATGAGCAATTAAGTCGAGCATCCAGGGAGATAGTGGCGAAAACGCATCGAACCGTTTGGTAAGATCTTTTAGAATACGTATGAGAACTTTTATCGATGAATGGTGAGCGTTTTCTTCGAACCAGCGGGTATGACGTATAGCTGCCAAATGGCTCTGCATCACCTTGTGGTCGAGATGAATCTCCGGTTCCAGTTTGCGAATGTTCTGGGGCAGTGTAGCAATCATTATGCACACCTTTGAATGCGAATTAGCTATATCAAAGCCCTTGTCGTGTATAGTTGTCAAGAGCTGGTCAGCTTTAATCAACACTTCAGTTTTCATAGTATTCATAAGGTCGGCCTCCACCTTTTTGGCAAGAGCCTCGCATGCTTCCTTAGTCGGCAGCGTCTTAAGTATAACGACAATGTCAGCCACGTTATTGCCAGTAAGGATAGTACCTTTTTTGAATGACCCAACTTGACGCACCTCCTCGAGTTGCTATAAAATGTAAAATATTGTTTTTAAGACATTTCTTGAATTAAATATAAAAACATACGCATGTATTGAAGTCGCCCGGCGCAACTACCAGGTTGTCCAAAACAGATTGAACTTTAGTTACTAAGTTTCCTAAAGAGGTTTGCTCGGCTGGAGTAGGGCTCAAATCTTGGTTTCGTTTTAATAGTGCCTGTTGAAAGAAAAAGGTAGGGAAATTAAATAATATTACACATTTATATCTGCCCGAACAAATTTGCGCACAGTGCAGAAAAGATATTGAAACTTTAACAGCAATAATCTGAGTAGCTCGAATAGGCCAAATTCTGTATTGTAGTGTTTTTTGCGGATGTGTGTTATATGCATCTAGGCTTTTCAAATGTTGAACTCAGGAAAACATACAATTAATACAAAATCTAATAAAACACTATAGTACCGCACATACTGTACCCATTCAAAATATTGTAATGTTAAAGCTTGTTTACGCTGAGTAATATGGATTTATTGATTTTACCGCTGTTAATGCAGAGTCGTCAACCGGCGGAGATACTTTTGGAAAAACCACTTCAGCCAGTGTTAAGTCGAAAGGATGGCGAGGAACAAATGTTTTCTTGAAAGGAGGGCGAATGCCACCGCGCATGGGTCTGCCCCCACGTAGTGTTCCACGAACCATGCTATTTATTTGTTCTTTTAGTGTTTGGCTCAAACAATTACGAGTCTCTACCGGCAGCAGTGAAAAAACTATATTATTAGTGATGAGCAAATGTGAATCCAACTCGATTTACCGACCGATTATGTTACTGAGTTTCAACGCTGCGAACTCTTTATTTGGAATAGGAATCGATTAAGAGCACTTACACGAGCGAGCTCGCGTGAGCTTTCTAAACCCAGACTTCACAGAAAATTGAAAAAACCAGGTCAAAAACAGAGCTACAATAGATAGATATTTTTGTATGCGAGACACAAAAACCAATTTTCGCTATAAAATATTTGTACATTTATACACATAAAATAACAAAGTATGTTTCAATCGACCAAGCCGAATGTGAAATATATGTATATAAAAAAGAAGACGAAAGATGACGCCATCTTAGGGGGCGTAGAATAATAGTTTTTCTAATATCGTTTCTAAGGATTATGTAAAAATAGCGTGTAAAAAATTATGTTAGTGTAACTTTCGGACTATACCGATGCAGCTTGCCTTGTTCTGAAGAATATTCATATGTCTGATACTTCGTCTCTAGCTTCTATACGTTACATTAATTTGAACACACAATTACTTTTGGGGTAGAAGGTATCATAATTACGCATGCTTGCCTTTTTTAAATCGATAACACCTTTCAATTTTGTATCGGTGGCATCGGTGCCATCGCTCGTTTGTATTGCTGTGTCATTTTACTGAAATACTTGAATTGTCGGCTTTTTGATTTTACCGAATTCTTTACATTCAAGTTAGAAGTTATGGCTACTGAACGATATAGCTTTTCTCTGACTACTTTTAGGTAGGTTATTGTATTCATAAACATAAATGCACGCTTTAAACCGACGGTTCTTATTTACAGTCCGTCTGGTAAGCTGGTCCAGTTGGAGTATGCTTTGGCGGCAGTGTCTGGTGGTGCACCGTCTGTTGGTATTATGGGTAAGTAAAACTTGATTTTCTTACAACAAGATAGAATATATAGAGTTGCCCCTTGTTACTTGCAGCATCGAATGGTGTCGTGATTGCCACAGAGAATAAACACAAGTCGCCGCTTTACGAAGAACATAGCGTACACCGCGTAGAGATGGTAACGAAGCATATTGGAATGGTTTATTCGGGCATGGGCCCTGACTACCGTTTGTTAGTGAAGCAGGCTCGTAAAATTGCACAGAACTATTATCTTACGTACAAGGAGCCGATTCCTGTTGCACAACTTGTTCAGCGCGTTGCAACACTTATGCAGGAATATACCCAGTCCGGCGGTGTACGCCCCTTTGGAGTGTCATTGCTAATTTGCGGATGGGACTCAGATCGCCCATATTTGTATCAGTCTGATCCTTCGGGAGCTTACTTTGCTTGGAAGGCAACGGCAATGGGCAAGAATGCAGTTAATGGGAAAACATTTTTGGAAAAGCGGTAAGCACCTCATATGATTATATACATTATATGTGTTGTGGCTTTAATCAAAATTTTTAGTTACAACGAGGACTTAGAACTCGAAGACGCTGTTCACACAGCTATTTTGACACTTAAGGAAGGATTTGAGGGCAAAATGACAGCCGACAACATAGAAGTTGGAATCTGCGATCAAAACGGATTCAAGCGCCTGGATCCAGCCTCAATCCAGGACTATTTGGCCAATATACCTTAAATATGAGTTGAATCAAACACACATGCTGCTGTAAAGGAAATCATTAAAAATTAAACCGGTATTTTTAAATTTTTAAAATGAGGAATGAAGTCTTTTATTCGACATCTGAATTAAATTAGTTGACACCAATGGGTTCCACATAGCCCACACATGTCTCTGGATCGAAAATGAATAGATTCCGATGTGGAGCTTCCATTTTGGTAACAACCTTTATGATTTCTTGTGACACCACACCACCAACGACCGCGGCAGCTGGTGAAACCTGTGCAAAAAGCATACCGATAGCGTCATCAGTTATAGTCGACTTTGATGCGATGCCATCACGGATTTTCTTTAATTTATTAATATCGGCTTCCCTTGTCTTGAATGATGGATCTCTCTTGTTCACGTCGCGAAATTCTTGCAAAATGCGCAATAGCACGATACCGGGTCCGTTACGTTTAATTTTGCGTTGATAGCTGGGTGCATTAATATCGAAGTCTAGCCAAGTAGAGTATGCTGGATACTCAACTTCAAACTGAACTGGTGTTGATATAATTTCAGTCTTTTGTTTTTCGTTGGGTTTGGAAATGATCTTGTGCTTTATTATGTTCCTAGAAATGCAAAATCATTAATCAGCCGTACCTCAGCGATGGCATGTTCACTTACTCTACATAACGATGCGTTTGCAGACTAGCGAAATAGAAGCCAAACATGCCCCAAACGTCAGTTGCAAAAAACTTTACACCCAATTCGCGGCATATTGAATCGATACGTAGCAGTTCCGCGTTGTTTTCACCACTAACTACTATAACATCAAACTGACCAAAGTATTCTGCTCCCATATCTTTTAGTGGTTGCGTATCGGCAGATATTTCCACCATCGGATTCAAAGCACGTGCACGGTCTAATGACGCTTCCGCGCGGTTAGTGCCAATTTTTTCCCGTGCGCTCAAGAACTGGGAGCAGAAGTCCTCTTCAGTAACCAACTTGTCGTCATGCAACTTTACCAAGTTTACTCCAGACAATATTATATTTTTTGTAATCTCCGCTCCCAATCCATTTAGCCCCGAGATGAGGACTTTTGCCGTGCGTAGTCTAAAAATATGTTTAAGATTGTTGAAAACTAGACCTTTGAGAATGATGCATATTATTTTTAAACAGAAAGTTACATACATAAGAATTATGTTATTTTTGCCTCGATAAAGAGGGTTAAAACATCTTTTATGTATGTATGTATGTATATATTGCGGTGAAAATGTGCAAACATATGTATGTACATGAATGTACACATACAAATATACATACTTATGTACATATATCCAATACTCACCGCTTTTGGGACTCCAAGCCCCATAGTCGAATTTGCCTATCATACAACTCATTTTCAGTGTCGGTGAGCTCAACACCAACTTCGTTAGGTGCACTATCCATTTCCATCGCCATTGTATTTATCTGTACTCCGTGTATTTCTGATAGTTATAAATATGGAACAGAACACAGCCGGTGTTTAACGATATACGAAAATTTGGCGTCATACATGTTGTGCCATCAAAATATCGATTAAAAATAATCGGTACTGTCGCATTATCGATGTGTAAGATATTTCTCCAATCCATGGGTATTCTTGCAATTTATAATTTGTATATTTTTGCAATAAATTAAATTGGTATTTTAGACATTCTTTAAGTTTCACTCAAAACATGGTCAATTGAGGCACTACAGCTAAAACAAAACGAGCTAACAACATATATACGCTTGTATGTATATACCAATCACTATGCCTTATGATAATTATTTATTCCTCCACGATACATATGTATGTATATTCCTTACTACTGAATAGCCATTTACGCTTTGGGTCTTACAAAAAATAAACTTCAAATCCTGCGAAAAGCTTCTCTACCTATGTACATATGTATTGAATATATGTATATATTTAAAATTGCTGAAACTTATAGCTGCTTCAAATGACAGCTATAAAAGGAAATGCATTTCTGTTCCGTTAAAATACATAGTCTTCATATTTTATTAACAGGTATAACTGTACATTACTGATGAATTGTACTGTTTTGTTCATTATTTATAACATAGAGAGATGATCTTATAAACGCATCACTGGTTTCTACAAATCCATCCAAATGAGTCCACAAGAACCAAAAAGCCAGAGCACCGAGCAAAATCTTGCTGACCCAATCCAATATGTATAAGCGCCGAAGAACTTTTCTGGCATGTGGAAGAGTAGCAGCACTCTCGCCTAGAATGTATGTCCGCATGCCCACAATGTAATTGCTGATGTAACGCTCCCAATTTACTTGGCTAACAGAAGTATCAAATATATGCTGGTCCGTTAGGCTTAACTTGTTGCTCATCTCCTGAAATCTATCATTTATGAAAACCCAGTCTTTTGTTGTATAGTATTGGAGTAACTTCAACCCAGTGGAAATTCTTTTTTGTATTTTCACCAAGCTGTAATGAGAAAAAAATAACACCATTTAGCATATCGTGCCTTACATGACATCTTAAGTTGACTTACAAGGGTTTTTGACCAAAAACCATTAGCCAAAAGTCGATGAAATATGCAGGCAAATAGTGAAAGAATATAACACATAAGAGGTGATGGTAATAGTTTTTCTTAATAGAACCACCAGGATACCAAAGTGCAAAACTAAGAGGTGTCTCGTAAAAAAACTTGCGTCCAGTCTCAATGCTTTCACCCCATGACATCAACGCCTTACTAGTGATGCACAAATTGCAAAACTGCACCTGATTGGATTTTAAATTGTCGTTGCCTCTTCGGTAGCCACAGAGTATCATGCCATTGATCGCTTTGTCTACCGGGATAACCGTTGAGCGATAGTTTGGATTGCAGTGCATCGATCGAATTACGCCTCGTGCCGCTCCAATCATTAATCCTGTGGATACAAAAATCATGTAATACAATATAAAATATAATATGTAATACAATTTACCTGTGGGCCCATTAACACCCTCTATCCAGCCTGGAAGTGGCTCCTGAATGGCCGCGGTCACTAAAATGAGTGTAATAAATAAATTAATAAGTTCGGAAGAACTTATATGGAAGTACAATGAGTTTACCCTCCTACGTACCAATTGAAGGTCTTGCTATAATTATGGGAAGCTTTTTGTTGTATCTGCAAATTAGATCCTCCGACAGCGCCTTGCTATAAGCGTATGTATTGGGCAAGCCATTTAACAATCTGCTGAAAGTAGTGCAAACATACTGTAGTACATTCGAATAGTTAAAAGGTCGTGATGATGAAGTTGGAGCGATTAATAACCAACGTACGTAGGTGTTATTTCAGCCAGAGCGGCATCATCCATTGTGTCCACCATTTCGATAATGGCAAAGGGATTCTGTGGCGCCGGGTAGGCACGTTCTTCCAGCACACTTTCGTTGCATTGACAGTACGAGGTGGAAACATGAACCAGTGCCTGCAGATTCTTCATCTTTTCTGCCAGGCGAAGCAATTTCAGAGTGCCGGCAACGTTCATGCGCACCATTGGCCGCAAAGGCTGGTCAAAGCGCACATTGGCTGCACAATGAAAAACCACTTCAACAGTCGACGATAGTGTGTTAATATTGTCGGCACTTAGGCCAAGATCCGGCTCGAGTACGTCCCCTTTTACGACGTGCACCTTATTGACAATATCGGGATTTGTTTCTAAGAGCTGGTTGAAGATCTGTAAATTACATGTAATTGGAATCAGTGGGTCATTAATGTTTAACTATGGCATTTTATTATTATACAAGTACTTGGTAAGCCACTCTACTTCACGCCATTCACATGCCAGAGAAGATATAAAAGCTATTTTGGTTTATATTTGTTACGTGTAATAAAATTTACTCATTTGAGTCGCTCTGTAGTTAGAGGTTAGAATCGCTTTATAAACACAAACCATAGCTGTGAAGACAAATCTGTGTCACGATAAAATGAGTAGTCATTGCAATTTTGGGATTTTGACTAATAATGATTACCTTGGCTTATAAATGTTGGCAGCTTGTGTGCTTGGCCCATGCAATTTGAAAACAGCAACTGTATGTACAGATTTACATACATAGGAATATGTATGAATGTTATTACAATCGTCATCATGTACAATAAACGTTTGTCTTTTTTATTGCTGTGACCATTAACTATTTTTTGGAAGGATCGATGCACTCATTTGTCAAGTAACACTTTAATAGTGCTACATACATACATATGAAGATATGGCATACCAAATGCTATATGTTCATGAATGATAACGATGTCCCCGGTGTGTTTCGAACATCATTTGGATATTGATGACGCAATTATTGTACACAAATAGCAATTATTAGGTCCACATTAGTAAATAGGATTTGGTTCTTCTCTCTGTACCCGAAGCGGTATAACGGCCTGTACAAAGTACACCTAATTCTATTTTTATACGGTAGATTGGTTTCATAAACAACCGTGTACAAAAGACATTGATCATATGCAAAAATAGGTGATTGGTTCCTTATCTCTAAAGAAATATACATACATATATGCAAATATATATCAAAATCGTGTAAAAAAAATACACGGTCAGAATTAGGTGTATGTAACAGGGAGAAGGAAACATTTCCGACCCCATAATATATATTTCATATATTTATTCTTAATTAGAAGAGACAAATCGATATAGCCGTGGACAGTATTGACGCAATTATGTAAGGCGACGGGCAAGGCGGGAAGAAATAGAATTTTGTGGTGATGATATGCTAATTATTAACTTAAAGCAGCTTAATCAAATATATTGCACTATTTCCGGTAGACCTCACTGGGCCGTTCGAGCTTTGTCAAACACTAAAATTCTTGCAGCACCTATCTCCAAGCAATGGTGTCATACACATAATTATACCTTTTAATGTATTCCACCATGCTTTAGTTATACAGCTTTAAGCCGAGCTCTTACTTTGTACATGGTATTTAACGAAGCTAACTGAATAGTGAAGTACCTTATTATTCATCTCAGATAATGAGTCAGCTTTTAATAAATTTCCTTATTCAGGTAACTGCAAAGAATTTTAATTATTCCAATTAAAGAATATTTCTAATTACTTTGTGTATTTTACCTTTCGAAGTAAACTATCGAGGTAACAATTGTTGCACCTGCCACACCACATTATGCATTCAACTGTATTACGTGCATCAGTTTACCAGCTCAAAGAATATATCGAATTAAACTATAAAAGCTGTGAGAATTTTGAGATGGCCGAGTTAATTGTATACTAATTAATTTGAACTATACATTTGAAAAGGGAAGAAATATGAAAGTACGTAATGAGATATTGGTAATTATGTATGAACTATATATGAAAACTGTGTTCTACCTATTCAATTAGCCATTGAATATAATACATAATTTGATTTGTTTTTCATTGATTTATTTTGTGCTTAGAGCTTAATAGTTATAGTACAAATTTAAAGCTTACCACACATTTAAAGTACTGCTCCCTCCGCACACTCGCAGCAATATCTTTTTTTGAGCGAATTAGTAAGTAGATCGCCTTGAGTTCCCCGCAACTGCGCAGCAGCTTCTCTACCAAAACTTTGCCCATGAATCCAGTGGCGCCAGTGACAAGTATTGTCTTTCCAGCATACCATTTGGCAACATCAGACTCTCCACAGTCCGCCCCGCACTCCAATATCTCCATGTTGTCTGTTAGTGGGCTGTAAGTGGCAAAAACAACAAACATTTACCTCATTACACCATAGGAGTATACTCTACTATCTTGTGCTCACTCAGTTACACAGTCACACACAACACACACACACACACACATTTGTTTGTCTGACCTACTGGCCAAACATTCTTTTTCAATGTCAAACCTTACGAAACACGAAGACAACAACAAAGAGGCCACAGCCGCAGCCGTTAATGTTGACTAAGCGTAATTGGCATAGCTACTTAATGTTAGCGAGTTTGCGCAGAGAAGGGGCTTTTAAGTTTATTTGACTTAATTTGTTCCGATCTCACTCATCTAACTTTATTGCGTTGTGTGGGTAAAAATAAGTACTTACCAACAAATGTAGAGAGGGGGAAGGCAAATTGGTGCAAATGGGTTTTGTAACGCATGCTGGAATTTATTATGCTTTGAGCATAGCCTTAAAAAAGTTCAACTTAAACAAAAAACAAGTGGAAAAGCTAATACTACTTATAAATTAAAATAATCAATTAAAATCTCTGCACTGTGTAGAATATAGTAATTAGAGAAATGTAAAATAAATTTAAAAATTAAAAAAAAAATAACGAAATTGTAATATTACAAAAAAATGTTTGATCGATTATATATCCTTGGGTACCTCCACTGTGTATTTCATGTGCATACAGATTATAATAATTTCCTACCACAGTCTTAAATCGATCCACATGAAACTTTGCCGGACCACAGACATCAAATAAAGTTATTGGGTCCCAATTGCATATCATATTTTTGTCATATTTACTTGTAATTATTATGCACCATTTATAGGTCGAGAATAATGACTATGGATTTATCGAAAGAATACGAGGCGTAGCAGACACAATGCATGTCCTCCTCTAATACAAGTTTCGCAGGACAATGCTAAGCCAGCAACTGTTGTTGCTACTTCTTTGGTTCAATTAAACGTATCCACCAGATTTAAAGTTGAAGAAGTACACCAAAAATAAAACATCTATTTTATGATGGTGCTATTTTTTTGGGCTATCGTGCCTAGAACACAATCTCCTTTGGCTTATATCGGATCAAATAGAATTAGATATTAGTGTACCTACTAACAACTACATCTAACAATTGAGCCCGTTTAAACTGCAAATTGTCTTCCCACGCAACTACCGATGTTGCTGAATAAGTCAACAATGGAACTAGGTTTTCGCATAATTAACAAATTTAAACAATGGTCAGCCTCTCTCGTCAATTAAAGCATTTGCACAGCTTGTCTTATTTACTCTGTATTTTTACTGATTTTTGTTTACCACGTTAACTTGCCTTCGCATTTGTAAATTGTATAACAAAACACCGGTGTCTAATTGTTTAATGCAATTGTTTACTAATTTGTATGTTTCAAAACAAGCATTATTACGAGATTTAGGATGGCAGCTACTTAACCAAAATATTATCGTTTATGCACTCGCGTTGTTAAGTTAACGCCAACAACTAGACTTAAAGTTAAACTCAACTTGAAACTCACTTCCTTACTTAGATGGCTAGCTCAGATGACGACGGTATGCGAAAATCTTTCGAATCGATTCAGTTGAATTCTCAGCGGCGACTGAAGTGTAAACGAGGAATTGGCTCTAAGATATACTCAACTGTAGAGGAAATTAGTTGCAGTCGGCCCGCTTCGTGACAACACTCTCGTAAGTTTATGCGAACCCGAAAGCCGTTGCCGAGTCCGAGTCCGAGTGACCGTTCATTTGGTCAGCCAGGCTGCTTTATGGTGGGATGGGGAATGGGAGATGGGTTGGGGTGGGGTGATTTCGTTTGCTTTGTTTTCCAGGTACCACTGTCCCTACCGCTTGGATCTATCCACAGACATACGAGCAAGCCCGCTGTTGATCTGACCGCAGTGAGCGCGCGTAAAAGATCAAGTATGGACGAAGTTGAAAATAAACAAGATCTATGTACACACATATATACTCGTAAGCACGGTTACGCCAATATTGGCTGGCAAGGGCAGTAGCCAAAGTTATTTTTGCCTTTTATTCTTTCATGTGGTTGACGATGGAGGCGACATGACCTAAAAAGTCCCCAAAAAGGACAGACACAAAACGGCAATAAAGTTGCAAGGCCAGCCGGTCTTTTATTTTTTGAAATGCAAGTCATCGATGTAAGGCAGCTACACTTGCCTGTCTGTAACTGCAATTATACCACAAAAGTTTTTATACATACATATATAGGTATTTGTAGGTAGTGCCAAATCATATACTCTTGTGCATATGTAAGATGAATTTTGATGCAAAATTTTGGAACCTGTTTTACAACAAAGAAAGCCCAACCACAATAGTTGTAATACTAGTCGCTCTTGTTGCAGTCTGCCATCACTGGCGCTGCCTGAGAGCAAATGAAACTGACCAGAAACAGGATCAGTTTTAGTTTTTTGTTTTGCAACGCAGCCGCAAACAATTTCGTAACGACCTTGAAACTCTTTAACAGCTACAGTTGTTGTTGTTGTGCTCTGAGGGCCCCCATTTGACTTTGACAGTTCAAAATTCGTTCGTTATTGTATAACAATTTTGCAGGCCATTGCCCAATTCATACATAACGCACTCTAATTGATTCTGTAAACTATGAGCGCTATATATATTGTCTGTGCTTAGAATTCTCACTAAGTCGTGAATAACTTATTATTTCTTTGGCAAATCGTCATCTGTTGTAAAATTACGTATTTCTAAAAAAATTCCCACAATATGACGCGAAATTACTACCTATAAGTGGCAGTTTTGAGGGATTTGTCACTCCCATTATTATTACACCATATCGAAACTTTGGTAACTATTACTATAACTGTATGCATGTAAGTATATTTGAATATATTTACATGTGCATTGGATAATGCTAAACAGGTAATTAAAAAGCTGTAATTGAATTTCAGCTTTTGAGTTATGATACTTTTAATTAACAAATACGTACATAGTACAGTGTGCAGTCACCAACAAGTATTTAAATGTTTTCTCAAATATATTACGGAAAGAAAAAGTGCACACTGGCTTGGAAATGGCTTAAAACTTCATGTCCAGGCAAACATGCACATTTTAACCAAGTTTTCATCTAACAATCTTAACTTTTCACCAACAACAAAAAATTAACATTTAACCCTTCGTATGTCTGAGATGCATATCTGCAACAATGTATTTGCAAAGTTTCTATTTGATGTAGTTCTACACATTTTATTTGTAGAGTATTACACTGAAATAAGCTTTTGAATTGAAATTATGATCACTTTTAGCGCCAATTGTGTGATTCGTGGGATACAAGCAAATTAGAGGATTTTTGTATTAATTTTTTTTTGAATATTTAAAGTACAACTAAAAATGCGATAAATGTGGGGTCGCATTAAGCTTTAATAAAATGAATAATTTGTTTTTAAAATTTTCATTTACAGACATTTTTTGACAAGAGAAACAACTTTAATGTAAAAATAAAACACTTCGTTCTTTTTTGTAAAACAATATACAAAATCAAAAAATTTCAAAAAACCACAAAAACACGTATATTTTTATTTTTTCTTTTCTATCTAATGGAAAAACCCGCATTGAAATCATTGAATATTATGACGCACTATTTCGCATTAAAATGGAACTGAGTTGGATTTGTTAAAGTTTTTTCATTGATCATATGAATAAATTATTTTTTAAATGCATCGTGCATTATTAACAATTTTAATTTTTTGGCCCCTCCCTTTGGTAAAAGCTGCGTAGGCCCTTGCCTGCCAATCTCTTCATATAATCAATTGCAAAATGTAATTGTAAAAATGGTTTATATCGGAAGAATATGCATATATACTTGGTGGGTTCCTGCTACGCCTCCTTCTGTGTGTTACATGCATTAGAACAAAACTAGTAAATTGTGAAAGTTGTACACTAAATCGGCCTCCCCTTTGTAAAAAGTGCATACGCCCTTGCCCGAAAACCGTATGTACCTTTAAAAATGGCCAAGTTTACAACAACTATTGCATTTCCTATCAAAATCGCATGACAGAAAAAGCGTTATCGTTTAGGTTTGGCTAATAAGAAGCATAGAAAAGTATGCGCAATATGGTGAATATGTTAACAAACTACGCGCGGGTCATATTTCACCTCGCCCACCTTTACGGGAACCAATTCACCACAAACAAAAATATTGCGAGCAATTCGTGTGCGTCCGCCAGTCAGTCGGCTATTGAACATCGTACGAATGAATTTGAATTAGAAGGCGTTCCCGTTTTGGTTTTTTTTCGTGAACCAAATTTTTCATGCTTCTGCCATAAAAAAAGTTCAAACACACTTAGACATAAACACAACATCATTGTTGTTACGTCTGGTCTGGAATTTGTGGAATTTGTATTCTGCGGATTAGCGTAAATTTGCTAAAAATATTTGAAAGGAAATCGGGCAACGACATTGTAAACATGCAGGTTTTAATAGCCGAATCGAATATGGCAAATAGTTTTGCTGCTGAAGATCTTACAAGTACGAGTCGCATTAAGATTAACAGCTCATATAAAGAGCACGGGTGCATCCGGAAACAAAGGTGAGTTACCCGCAATTTACATTTTCGTGCATAATTACTCGTATATACTCGAAATTCACATCGAGCAGAACTATATGCTTGTTAGAACTATCTACTTATGTATGTAGGTATTACTTCTGATTGTTTTACTTCAGTGAGTTTCGACATCGATTTATTTATAGAGCCTGAACTTAAGGTTTTTTTATTAAGCGTCTAATGTTGCAGCTAATTTATATTCCAGTTGGTATATAAGTATTAATCAGTTAAAAGTTTCGATCATAAAATTTGTTTAATTATGAGTTTTTAATGTCCACAGGGTAAATTAAATTATTAATTTTGATATTTGTTGCTTGTCTACTAAGTTCTCTAGATAGATGTTTTTCAGTCTAGGTTGAATTTTGAATCACGCTCAAAACCAGAGCTGTCATACATAGCTTCTATAGATTTAAAGACACTCCTTTCTATAGGTTAACATGACGATACTTATGATTTATCATCTGAATATGACAGTATGGTGAGTTCCAAGCATTATCTCAAAATTATCGAAATTATCTTAGGGCATCATCTGGGATTCAGTTAGTGACCAGCATAAAAGCAATTTTTCAAAGATGTCACAAAACTAATAAAATATAAAATATAATAATAATGTACAGAGCAAAGTTAAGGAGGTTCTAAGGACGGAAGCTAAAGTTGTAGAAAGTTAACAAAACCTAATCTTTCTTTCACTTTCTCATGCAACAAAGAACTTGCATACCTAGTCATACAAAATTGTTTTATGAATGAATTTACGTTATGCTTACAAATATGTATAAGGCAAATTGCCAACAACTCTTAGCGCTTAGAGAATAGACAGTTTAAATATGCAGGTATTTTTGTATTCTACCTTTTTGACAATCAACGAGTATGACTGTGACTCTGACAATTGTACACAAGGACGCATGAAATGTATAAATAAATCGGCAAACATTATCAGAAAACAAAGGTATGCTGGCTTCTATTTATATTAGAAGAAGAATATTAGCTAAGAACAAGTCATTGTGACTAACTAAATATTTGACCTTGTACAGGTGGCAGAACGAGGAATTTGGCAGGGGCTTTCTTTACAGCATCGCATTTAGACTTTTTATGATTGGTCGAATATAAGTACATACTTGTATGTATTTATAAAAATTCCTACGATGATTTCGAAGATTTTTCATCTGATGCATTCAGCGACCCAATAAAAAATACACATAAAAACATTTTTAAATGTAGGTTTCAGTCCATTTAGCCTATTTCCGTTTAGTATCATCTGATTTGACAAGCAAATTTATAAGCTAAATTCTTTAGCCCATCAAAACAAAATATTTTAATATATTGTACAACAAAATGGAATCACAAGATGTTATTGTTTTTTACAGTCGCTCATAGGCACTCAAAATAATATCATTGAACTCTGTATACGTACACATAATACTATATGGTACACACACATATGAATGTATAGATATAGTAGTCGCACAAAATATTTTAATTTGAGGAAAATATTTGTCGGCTGCGGAGGTAGAGCATCGGCCTGCTAGATGGGGCTGCTGCAAGTAGTCGATGATTAATATTGGCAAACAGCCAGCGGAATTCGCATTATTATTTAATGATAGAGAAATGCCTATAAAATATATTATTTTAAGAATAGCGCTACTTCTTTTATACTCTGTACTCGGGAATAGAGGGTGTATAAGAAAATTGAAATATCAAAAAAATGTGACAGGCTGAAGGTGTGCAAAAGCCCATGAATATCTTCACATATAACATTAAGAAATCAATTAGACACGTCCGTCTGTCTGTCCGTATGCGCCCCGGTAACATATGCACGATTAAAGATGGGGACACCAAACAGGTATATAGACTTAGCTTTTCCATTGAAAGACCAAGTTTAATATTGTTGTTTTTGATTTATATATTTTAAGCAAGTTTTGTATTGAGATTTTGTGCCTCGACCTAATATGATGTCCCAACTAAATCGGTGCAATATATTTAATATTGTTTAATACGATATCGGAAGAGCAAAGCAGCTACAGGATATACCATAGTCGGATTTGCATGACTTTTCCTTCTCCTCGATATAAATATTTGCATACCTTACTAAATTTGAATTGAGGTTGATGTTTCTGTAGATAAAAGCGGGAAATTAAAGTTAATAATAATTTTTAAGGTATTTGGCTTTGGATTGTCACTATATAGTATATAGTCTAAAGGCTTCTGTGCTGCCAATTTGTGCTCCCATGAAAGTATGCATGTTCGTACATTGTTTTTTTTATTGAATATACTATACATACACAATTATTCAGGTGAAATATTTTCTATTTTATTTAAACAGCTTCAACGATCATTTACAGAATCGTGTATGCTAGGTAAGACATTGGGCAGAAATAAAATATTGCCCAAATAAAACTGATGCGCAGTTTAAAAATTAAAACAAAACGGCGCGAATAATGTTTTAAATTGTTTTCGTCGGGGCTCTTGTTTACCTGCTACAAATTCTGTTCTATTTTAATTTTTCACATTTTTAAGTCTTCACTCAAAATACTAATAATAAACAAAATGTAGATGCCATACCGATAAACAATGACGTAGATTTTTGAAAATATACTTTAAAAGAAAATATGCTGCCAGTTTATATATTTACGCAGTTTAAATATCTTTTTCTTAAATCGGATTATTCATACTCGGATTATTCATCCTCATCCTGCAGGACGTTCGTCATACACATACTTAGTACGTCAAAGACGGAAAATAATTCTTTTTTGAAAAATATATGTAAATAAAATGATTGATGTTTGAATATAATGATCTTAAATCACATTGAGCATATTTGGTAATAACCTCCGATGGAAGCCTTACTCTCGGAATGGTTATAAACGCTAAGGTAGACCCTACTATGTATTATATAAATTTTAAATATTTTGGTTTTTTGCATATCACGAACCAAAAATGAAAATAATTTTTTTCATTATCATTATTTTCCCAATTTTTGTCATACATTTTACAAATTGAAGTCCATTTATTTATTATAAAGGCATTCCATCTATTGTTAAGAAATTTCTTTCATTCATGGTTACAATGTTGACAGATCGCTCGTCACATTGCAAAATTTGTCCGTTCATTTATAAAATCAAATATTAAATACAAATTTCCTTCGAAATACCATACATACTATGTAAATTGGAAATTTTGTAAATTGCAGTGCTGTTTATCGTTCGCGGTTACTTTCGCCGCTAAGTTTCTTACCTCAGCGACAGTTTTATATATGTATGCTCATATTTATATGTCGTTCATAATAATAGCGCACCAGCCCAGAATGCTTTCACTCAGACTAATTTTTTCTGGGACTTCAGGGTCATATTTTGTTGTCAAAAATTTAGCAACAATAAAATCATTTTTCGTTTTTCGCCAGTTCTGGTAAATTATGAGCTTACACAACAATTTTTAATAATTATTTTTAAAGTTTTGTTGCACACTGTTATACGAAGAAGCTCCATTTGCCGTAAATCCTCACCGTAATCGATTAAAGCCTTCAATTTCACGAAACAAATTGACGCATTTGGCCTAAGACAGCATTATTGTTTCCATGCTATAAACGATTAAGTATCTGTACGACAAGTCTAATTCAGTTTAACTTAGCTCGACTGTTCATAGAAATTTGTTGGTGTTTTGTTTAAATTCGAATTTTAAAGCGATAGAAATTAAAGATAAGGTTCAAAGCTTTCTCAGCTTGCTAACTTGTTTGAGTTCTCCAATTCTAATGGCTCCTAGCTGAAAAGCTGCAACAATTAATACAAGACATATATACACGAGTATATATGTTCATACAAATGCGAAATAATATTTGAAAATTTGAAGCATAAAACAAGTTTTGAATAAACGCGAAAACATTCCATCAAACCCTAATGTTATATGTACTTAGCAATTGTATAAAATCTGATCAAAGCTATTTTTAATAACGTAATTGATTTCTTCTTATTATTACAGTTCGGTAACTCATTCCAAAGCTGGGAGCGAACAAACTTTTCCAGGTGTATCCCGCCTGACGCCAACGCTATATTTATGTGGAGCCGCGGCAGTGCCCGAACAACTTGGACAGTTGGGCGTTCGACTCGTTGTAAACGTAGCACCCGAGCTCCCAGACACTCCCCTGCCTAGAGATGATCCTCCACTGTACCTTCGTATAAATGTGCAAGACCGCTCGGAGGTCGATTTTTTGAAATATTTTAATGAAGTAGCCGATCTAATTGAGGAAGTGCGTCGCACTGGTGGGAGCTCTCTTGTTCATTGCGTGGCGGGTGTCAGCCGTTCCGCATCACTCTGTTTGGCATATCTAATGAAGCATGGCGGCATGAGTCTACGTGACGCCTACACACATGTGAAGTCCATTCGTCCACAAGTACGACCTAATTCTGGATTTTTTCAACAACTGCGTGAATTCGAAGTGCAGTTGCGTGGCGTCAGTTCAGTCGAAATGATTTATTTCGCATCTTTGGACAAGGAGATACCCGATGTCTTGGAGCCAGAATATAGATCCATGGAAGACTTTTATAAACGGTATCGAAACGCGCTTAAGAAACGCTAAAATCATGTTTGCGGTAAATTGTAGTACGTTTGTGATAAGTGGAATTAAATATATAAGTATGTATATATGTATGTATGTATATGTAACTGGCATAATGTTTTAGAAGTAAAACCTATTAGTTCGTAAATGTTCATTGCTGAAATATACTTTTACGATATGATTCACTGTTCACTATTTTTATTTTGACTACGCTCCAGTTTGGAAGTTGGATTATCGGCATACAGTTGAATACAAACAATATTAAGGTTATTACTCTCCTGTCAAACAGAAAATATACATACATATGTATATGAATGGTTCAATATCATCGTTAATCGTGTTCAGATATTCCGATTTGAGCTCCAGGAATTTAGAATCAATATCAGTATGCAAGAATAAACAAGTGGAAAAGATAATGTCGGGTGCCCCAACTTGGAAATACTCTATTCCTATGTGTACAAAAATTATAAAATTGTAATTATAATAAAAAAAAATATATAGTCTCCGAGTTCTTAGTGATTATACGAAAATCCCTAATTACGGGGGAGGGGGTTGGTACATCAAAAAAATAATATAAATGCGCATATGAGTAAATAGGTACATAGGGCAACTTTGCATATGAACTTTCGATATCGATTTGTGGCAAAACTTAGTTCGGAGTATCTATGTAGTTATTATCTATAAATTAGGCACCAAATGATAGTATATATATTTATCTGTATTTATCAGTCTCGTTAATCAGCGTTGACAGTTTACATATGTACGCCTGTACACAAAAGGAAATTTACGAATTTTGTAGGTATAAGTAGATAAGCATTTAACGGATAATTTGAAATAAAAAGACTAATTGACACACATGTATAATTCTCAAGCCTAAATTAAATTTTGTAGACACACTCTGATTAGCTCCTAAGATAAAATTTGTCTTAATAATGTCGCAGGTGATTAGTGACTTCAAGAACCGACTTTTCATGTAGTAACAAAATGTGAAGTAAAGTGGATGGAGTTCTTCCAATTCATCTAATGAATAGAATATTGACACAATTTAAATAAATAACTAACTGTGGAAATAACACGTTTCGCACCACAATTCTGGCGAGTCTTAGATTATTATCCAGCATACCAGTTTTACACATTCATCAAAAAACTTTTAATTTTAACCAAAACACGTACATACATTCAATGAACTGTTTAATATAACTACATCACAAAGTTGTGTTTAATGTAGTAAACACTAAGTTCTAACTAGCACGTAGGTATAATTTATTGTACATATTAACACCATAACATACGTATGTTGCCAACATTTAATTAGATAGATGTATAGGTAGGTTTTAAATGCTCTCTTGTTTTTGGTTTCAAATATGCACTTCTCTATATTTCTCTTAGTTTTAGGATGTAATGCCTGTTTTCTGGCGTTTGAAGAAAACTCATTTAACTCGATGCAATATTACTCCTTAATAAAATTAATCGTTTGTCCAAAATTTAGATTTTTTGATCAGCGTCTGTTTCCTACTAGTAATGACATAGACTATTTACATACGTATGTACAAAGCATGCCTAAAACTATAAATCATTGAAATCAACGAAAACGACTTAAATCAAACTTAAAATGAATATTTTTCTAGTTAAAGAATATTTATATACTTTCAGCAAGCTTAATTATACATAGCACACGGGTCTTCCTGCCGTTTTCTTAAATTTACTTTCCGGTCGTCCACGTTGGTGACTGTGGTGTAAGGGGTTGCTGAGTTAAGATTTTTTTAAGATTTTCATAGGCAGTGTTCATGATGCCCCAACTTATGAACGATCGTCCCGTGTTGAAAGCACAGCCGCGGTAGAAATTGCCAATTCGACTGTTACGCTCGCGGTAAATTCTTTTACAAGCATGCCAACTGCCCTCTGTTTTATGGCCCATGTCGCTTTGTAGCGCCACTTTAATCACATTAAGCGGGTAAAACATTGTGCTGATACTTGCGCCGATAACCGCCCCCGCAATGAACTCCTGAGCAGTTCTACTGGAGACCGATTTCTGAAACCGACAAGAGATTGAAAGTTGCATTAAATATTATAATGGCATTATTTGAATGACTTGCCCTTTTTGATAAGCGAACACTGGCCTCTTCACGTAACATAAAGAACAATGCATTTGATAATCCATTGCGCCAAAACACTGGTTCAATTCCTCTATAGAGTTCGCGAAACCCATAATTGGTAATAACGTATCTATAAATAAATGAATAAATGAAGCAATCTTTTTTTGTAACTATCGAAAACTCATTACCTAAACGCATTTGGGGTATTTGAAAAGTATTGGTGAAATTTTGAGTCCGCCAGTAAGGTCTGAATACGTTCGAACGGCAGTAAAATGGATTCTACGCTGCCGGCCACTACACCGGCCATAATCTTGGCGCAATAATCATTTAAGCCATAATCATGGATTAAATACCTTCTTGTACCTGCAACATAATAGCGAAATATGGAACATTAGAGTCGCTGATTTAAGTTTTATGAATATAAAATATAACTTACCGTCGAACACACCAAACATGATTGAAAGTGAGATGGTTTTTTGTGCAAGTGGTGGCAGCATACCACGGTAGAGAAAAGTCAGACCTTCGCCCCTCAGTTGACCAAATGCTGATGTCACGGGCACACCGTGTAGCATTTGCCGAAAAATTATTTTATAGATAGGATATGTGACCGTTATATTGACGAAAGCCGAACCACAGCCACAAGCAAACTCTTCCCATTGAAAGGCACCAAAAAATCGCTCAAAGAAGACGTGCGCATGGCTATAGGATCCAATCGCGGCTGATGTTTCTGTAGCCTTGGGTGAGTTCTGACCATTGTGCACAAATTTCGGTGTTTCAACGCTATCGGTTCTCATGTTGTATTGTTTTATGGTATAAAAACATGGGTCGCGGGCGCATATGCTAGCTCGCTACCATTGTTTAGAAAGGCCTTCGATTGCGCTTGCCAACTTTTACGTTCTTTAATTGCTTGTTTCACATCGAATTTATTTATTATATAATTTAAAAAAATATTGCGGTAAAGTATGTACTTATAAAGCGACCACAGCTGGTTTTTCTTGCTATTAACACTGAGTCGTCAAGCTGTTGCGTTGTCGTTTTTGTCATGCGGTACACCATTTTTCGGATCGACGGAAAATTCATTAGGCTATTCTGTACCCAAATAAACTATCAGCATTGTAAATTTTGCTATATTTTTTAATATATCTGCAAAAAGAATCTTTTCATTGGCCAAGATGACAACACTATTTATCGCCATTAAACAGTGTATCGAAATGCAAATTGTATAAAAATAAAAAACGTCTACAGAGTTGATTTTTGAGAGCCTATCACCCTCTTGTAAATAATATTTATATAAAAATATATTTAAAAATATAATGAAATATTTAGTATGGAAGTTGTACCTTATTGTCCCTTTATTTTGATTGCAAAAACTGATAAGAAATATAGAAATAAAAGTTCGTGCGTTCAGATCGATATCAATAGAGCCAAAATCGGAATGGGAAAATATCGATATCTACAAAATCGGCTCCGGCCTTCCTTTCGCAACGCGCACGTCGCATAGAGTAGACGTCGAAACACGTGTTTATTAAAGTTGGTCTGAATAAAATCAGAAAGGGTAGGTAAATAATAGAGAATTGCAATCATACAAAAAACACCAGCAATGGTCTTAAATATTTAGTGTGAAAGCCGAGTGCAAATATGTTAAAAAATGGAGAAAAAATATTGACGTGACAAATATGTTCATATGTGTATGTGTGTTTCCATGATTGCATATGTATGGGAGTTTCATCTGCTAATTCTTCTTCTACTAATACTTTTGACATTCAATCTAAAATGTTGGACCTGTAACTAGTGATATGTATAGATTAATTTAAATATAAATGCTTCGGCGACAAAACATTATTGAAAAGACTGCAAAGCTGAACTTCAATAATAATACTATCGATTGTTTTTTTTTTCAATTTGCAGCTCCAATATGACCATTCGTCCAGCTTATAGACCGAAAATCGTAAAGAAGCGCACCAAGCACTTCATCCGCCATCAGTCGGATCGGTATGCCAAGTTGTCGGTAAGTTCAATGCACCTTTACTGGAAATGAACCAAAAATTGTATTATGTCTTTTGTTATTCAGCACAAATGGCGCAAACCTAAGGGTATTGACAACAGAGTTCGTCGTCGTTTTAAGGGCCAATATTTGATGCCAAACATTGGTTACGGCTCCAACAAGCGTACTCGTTTCATGCTACCCACTGGTTTCAAGAAGTTCTTGGTTCACAACGTGCGCGAACTGGAAGTCTTGCTTATGCAGAATCGTGTGTACTGCGCTGAAATTGCGCACGGTGTCTCCTCAAAGAAGCGCAAGGAGATTGTTGAACGCGCCAAGCAATTGTCAGTCCGCCTGACGAATCCTAACGGTCGTCTGCGTTCTCAAGAGAACGAATAAGCTTAAGTTTGGTATTCGCTACATTATTGTCGTTAGAATACATACACATTTGAAAAGAAAGTACATGCTTCTAATTTTAAAGGGTTTGTGTAAATTTAAACGATTTTTATATTGCGGAAAAATATAAAACAGCTGTGTGTGAAATCCATAGAAAATGTGATGCCTAACTCTCAGCAAAAATGTAATGCTGCAATTTGCTTTTCACGAAAATGTGGCAAACTTTTAACTATTAATAATCCCTTTCAAATTAAGCACTTTGGAAAATCATTTTTATTTTATTAAGTGGTAATCGGAATAGTCGAAAGGTAGAATCTGAATGCTATTAAAGGCATTACATTTGTTAGCATGCTTACAAAAATGTACTTTACTTAAAGACTACATCATGATCGAACTGCAAGTGGTGTTCGAGCTCCTTCTTGGTTTCGAAATTGGTACTGCAGATAACGCAGAATCCAGAGTTCTCGTCGTTGTCTGACATTATGACAGTCACGGCTTCTTGCTGTTCCGATTCATCCACATCCACCTGGAGTTCTTCGACAACCTGCTGCTCGTCAGCCGGTGCGTCCTCACGCACTCCGTACACAAGATCGCCCTCATGTGTTTTCATGTGCATTTTAAGTGTATAACGTTCGGTGAATGACTTTGGGCAGACCGTGCAGTAGTGCCGTGGCCGGTTTTCCTTGTGAATGAGTGTGTGGTGATTGAATGTTTTTCGTGACTTAAACGATACATTGCAAATGCTACATATTATAGGATTTTCCTCCGCCTCGTGCCGCAAACGATGGTTATATAGTAGGTTGTCCTGCGAGAAACGTAGACCACACTTTTCGCATTGGTATTTCTGCTTGTTCCAATGCATGCGCATGTGTCGAAGCGTATTAACTGGTCGCGAGAAGCTTTTTGGGCAATAGCGGCACTGCTTTTCCGTTTTCCCCTCATGTAAGTTCATGTGCAATTCGAGATATTCCTCGTCCCGGCGCACGATGCCGCAAATGGGACACACGTGTGTTTGTGGCTTCGAGTGCTCCTCACTCATATGCTTCTGCAATTGATACTTTGAATTAAATTGTTTGTTACAGCTACTGCACTCCTGCTTGACCCGATCCCGCTTCCGCATATATGATTTATCCATTGAATCCAATTTTTCATCTTGAGGCACTTCGACCTCGCAAACAAACTCTTCGTCGTCGCCGTATTCATCTTTAATTTCAACATCACCATCGTCTTTAACCAGTTCCACAAGAAATGCTTCCGTCTCATCTTGCTCCATTTTATCCTCCATCTCCTGCACATCGGTGTCCTCGTCTGCGCCCGCCCCTGTTAAAGAACTATCATCTACGGAATCGGCATCAGGAGCAGATTCTGACTTAAGGGCGGCCTTTAATTGATGAGTCAATTTCCTCTGCGTAGTCATAAGATTCACCATTATGGTGTCGTACTCGGATAGCTCATAAAAACATCGAGGACAAACTTTTGTATCCGATTTAAGATTTAAGTTTTCCTTTATGCAGTTGGCGAGATGTTGCAGAACGAGCGAGACCGACTTTTGTGAAGACGGCACCTTTGCCGTTGTCGCACATTCGTAGCTTACAGAACCGTTCAAGTCAACCGCACCACAAAAAAAGCAAGTATCCATGTTAATAAACGAACTATTTGATAAAATGTGTAATATTATTCCGCCTGAAAATGTTTACAAGGAGGCAGTGTTTCCTTCTTCTGCAGCGTCGCTTGTTGCCACCTAGTGCAAGTAGAGAAGATTTGTCTGAGTACAAAATTTATGTCGGTTCGGCCTGAACTAGTTCAGTTATCAATTTTGAGTAGATTTCAGATGTACTGGCAAAGTAATAGTATTTTTTACTGACTGGCAACGCTGTAAGATTACAAATAAAACTTCTACCATATTTACAATATACATACATACTACAATATCAGCAAGTTTTTGTTGTTTGCCCATAATAAATTCTAAAGTGTGTGGCTTTTCGCCAGTGCCTTACCTGGAAATTAGTACCGCATATTGGTATTTGCTGATGTTGCGGCTGAAATCGAATTCTGCACGGCCATTGAATCTTAACTCTTAATCTGTTACTCGCAGAAAATGTAAATACAACAAACTAAAATTAGAATAATGCCAATTTATGTGCGTAAATGTTTTTTACATAGCATAAATATTTATTTTAAAGGCATAGAGTTAAAAATTCGATTTTGCTCCGTGAATAATGTTATTAATCATTATACTAATTAGTAGTTCTTTTTATTCCAATTGCATAAATTCTTTTATTCGTGGTATACGGGCTTTAATGGTCCGATTTCAATGTCATATTTTTGATATTGCGACCATGACTGCAACATTTGCTTGGTTTTATAATGGTCTGCTTTTCCAAAAGTCTAACGAGAAGTGCATCAATATACCATTGTTTGGTTCTTAATATAAAAATGTTAAAAACATACTTACCTTACAAAATCCATAAATATTTATTTTTTGATTTTGATGGTCATTGACCATCTTTCCTCCTCCTAGGCTTTGAGTGCAAAGCCCCAGGGACTCCATATTAGCCCTTACTGCATTATAAATCTCCTCTGGAATTAAAACCAATTAGCATTCCATCTGATATTTCAATATAATAAACTTACCATGACTACTGGACCTCCATCCACGAATAATGGTTCTAGCAAATGCCGTTTCACCATGAATATAGATTTTTATTTGCAGGTAAAGTATTTTTCCATCGCCTATTTCAATGCGTGGTACTCTGAGTAGCTTTCTGGCAAGACTTTTGCTTGCAAAACGCATAACTACGAGTACGAATTAAATTGAATTACATGGCGCAGATTTACCTTTAGCACTTACTTGGAAGATTGAGGCGGAGAGGTGTCAACATTTTTGCGGGCCTAAACATTTTTACCAAATTTTAATATAAATAATTTTGAATTTAGAGAACGTGTTTCCGAAAGGGCGTGCTACTTGACTCCCCAATTTAAGCAACTGAACAAATGAGGGATTTTCCTTGACAGAAGTGTAAATGCTAATTAGATACTAACATATTATTATTTGGACACATTTTTGTGAATTTATTGTTGTAAAAAGAATTTTCGTACATAATTGATGAATGTGCGTAGGAGAATTGTTGTGTGCACATATGTATGTACATATGCATTGGTTCTTAATATCCTGCATCAACAGTTTCAATCTCATAGTCCTTATACTTCGTTTGGATAATTCGTTTCGATACAATATGATCAGCTTTTCCGTAACCCTGCGAATGTAAATAATTATTTGCCAGTTATCATGAATTTATGATGTATAAGATGTTTATACTTGAGAATATCCATAGATCTTGATGTATTTTTTGTCTGGGTCATGTTCAATGCGACCACCACCTAGACATTCCGTATCGAAATCTGTCCCATGGCACAGTCCCTGGACACGCTCATAAATATCAGCTAGAACCAAAAATATAAGTATGTACACATTTAGTTTACGTCTTTAGTTTCATTGTTGTTTCATATTACCATGCCATTCACAGTCCGCGTAGCCGCGTACAATAATTTTGCTTGGCTCTACACCATCTGAGTCCGGTGTACCAGTAACTTTAATAAGAATATATTTGAAAATACCTCGGGCATCTATGTCTACCAGCGGCACATCTTCAAGAGTTTTTTTGGCCATTTTTTTAAATAGCCTGAAACCTATATATGTAAATATTTACAAATTATTCTGCAGCCCGTATCAAAATATTTTTACCACTAAAGGAGACTTGCGATGTAGCAGCTGATTTTAGTATTTTCAATCGGAGATGAGCGGCATCTCGTAGCTGCTACCATATCTGTGACTAATAAAACACCGTAATTGTGATTTTATTTTAATGAAATGCCATTGGTTTTTTAAGTAATTGATATTGTTATTTTATAAGAAAAGAATAATCGTCATTCAATCGAAATTACAAATTTTTATTAAATAGCAATATACAAATTCATAAATATTTGGATATTTATAAATATATGCGCAGAATATTTGAATTACTGTTAAAGCTCATATAATTTATTGTTCGTTTTTGGTCGTGTTTCATCTTGAGATTATGCGTCGTATTAAATCTTAAATCACACAAGGAATTGCTAAGTAACACATAGTAAATACATGCGGTAATTGTAGAAAGCCCTTTAAATTCCCATTATACAATATTGTAAACTTTTAAAAGATCTTAGACCACAAAAATAAATGTGATATCCCATACAGCAAAAGATACGCCGAGCTGTTTGCCTCAGTCTGTATCGAGTTGAAAATTGAGCTCTACCTCCCCTCTCTGTGGATTGAATTTTTGCATCGAAAGGGTATTTAGAACTTATCTATCTGCATGAGCTAGTTCATTTTTACAATGAACTTGTTCGTAAGTTCATTGATACTGAGTCCCTTATGAACTAGCAGGAAAATTTTTGGTCTTTGTAATAAAGCATTTTCAAAGTTATTGTGATGGCGACCAAAATGTCGCGACCCCACTGTTTTGTTTGCGGCATTGTGAAAGCTCCTGGAGGGGTCCCGTTTCAAATAATTGAAAACTGTATTGTACCCGGCACTTTCAAACCTATCAAAGTTATAATAAAACACTTTGAGAAGGTAATACACTTACCTGCGTTTATAAAAGAAGCGGTATCTATAAAAGAGTGATGCATATTCTACATCCATCAACAGGTAATACATCAGCCATTAGATCTGACTCCCACTTCGGCGGCATGTAAGGCATGCTTGGAATATCTCTTCAATTACGACCGCTTGGCGCGACACCTTAGCCAAGTGCAATCGAAAATTGCAAATTCCATGGTAAACTGTAGGCGACCAATAGCGCAAAAGAGGAAACTAGACACGTCACAGAAGGAGGAAGCTATTCAACCAGAGAAAGCCGCAAAACAATGTACACAAAGCCAAAAGCAAACGGAAGATTGCCATAGTAAGTCCGCCACAGAAGATGAAATTGAGTCTGGGACGGACCATGAGACATTCACAGATGAAACGAGACTGGACAAGCACTACGACGAAGACGACAGTTTTCAAGATGTGCGTTATGATGCCACTTGTAATATATGTGGGATCAAAGTAAGGGACGAGGAGGTTCTTGATTTGCATATGAACATCCATGAAGGCAAATCCGAGCTGGAGTGCAGATACTGCTCTAAAAAATTCTCCCAAAAACGCAGTGTACTACGCCATATGCAGGTGCATTCGGATAAAAAGAAATTTCAATGTGAAAAGTGTGGGGAATGCTTTTCAATTTCATGGTTAATGTACAATCATCGAATGCTACACGATGCTGAAGAAAATGCTCTCATTTGCGATGTATGTAAACAGCAGTTTAAGACAAAACGCACCTACACCCAACATCTGCGAACTCACCAGGCCGATAGGCCCCGCTATCAATGCACTGACTGCAACAAATCCTTCGTAGATAAATACACTCTAAAAGTTCACATGCGTGTTCACAATTCAGCTGGCCTGGACACCGAGAAGAAGGCTAATACCTGAGGCGTTAGATAATCCTGACAATCTTTGTTTAAGGATACAATAGAATATTTAAATTGGTAATTATGTAAACTCAAATTAATTTTAAATAGTAAAAGTAATGAGTGTGTTAAACTTGATTACTTTAAATTAAATACAAGTTATTTTACATTCTAATTATTTTATAAACAAAATGATATGAATCTGATCAAAATTTGAACTACTGGTCGTTTATAATCCGGACTTTTACATCAGCAGTTACAATGCTTGGATATTGTTACTTTTCAAATGATGCTTATGCATTTTGTTAGTTTTTTTTTCCCGTAAATGTTGTCTTTATTGTTGCAAATTATTGTTCTTTGAAAAGTGTTTGTGGTGGTAAAGCCAATATTTCTCATGTCCGTTCAAGGGCGTTTATATGAAACTTCTTAAAATTTTCTATTGATGGCTAAACATTAAAGTTTTTTGAACTTACGCGACATTTGAATAATCTCAAAACGGATCCATTTATATACACCACTATATACATGCATAGTGATGTTTATTATTACACTACCTAAGTTCGGGTTTCTATCTATAATCTAATATCATAATCCATTGGGTCGTTGGTGGACTTTAGGATCTTATGATTTATGCCTTTATGGAATACCAACTCACACCCGCACTAATACTTTTTCTGGAGTGAATCAAATTAAATAATCGTTCAATTTGTCAAATAGCTTTTTCAAAACTCAGCAACGCCTTTATAAATTAACATTGACGCAACAAGTAATTGTGATTTAGATTTTTAAGTTATTCCCAATACCTTTCGCCCCCCTTGGCTTCTGATTATTTTTGTACAACAAATAAACATAACTGTCTATTCAAAATGATCAGAATCAAAGAAACCGATTTGTCATAAAATTTTGTCATATATTGCAATTTTTACAATTAAATATAAATACTATACAACTATATTGTAAAAAGGGTTGTAAAAAACCCCGATACATTTTAATCATCGACGAACGAAATAGGTTTCGTTGAATAGCTGTTCCCTGATACAGTGTGACCACACAGACTTTGTAAATATGGTCACATAACATAAGATATGTAATGAAGACATGAACTGATATCAATTTTTTATTAGTAGAACTATTTCAGACAAACAAATATATTGGCCTTATTATTTGAAGTGGTTGATTAATTTAATATTTAAGTATACTCCATTGTATTAGTATACGTTTTAATATTTTCTTTCGAATACCACTAATGTAATCGCATGCAGCTCTGTGGCTCAATTTATTCGTGAACCAGCTCTTCTATATTTACGACGTTCCATCTCTATATTGCTGCTGTATATTTTTGTTTGAAAAATAGCAAAAAATGTCGAGTTGTTGCATTTGCCAATTTTCTGTGCGATCAAATGCAACGAATCCTGTCAAGAATATATATGAGGAAACCATCGGTGACCCTCCCGTTTCGATTAGTTTAGTTTTGTTGCAGTGTACGAAAGGAACAGATTTTCATATTGAAAGTGCTTCGATATGTAAAAAGTGTTGCGAGAAGTTGTCACGTTATCACAAGTCCATACAAATCGCTAAAAAATTACGGCAAGAAATCCTAGAGCTAATCCGAAGTCCGTTCATAATACAAGAGTTTAAGACTACGCTTACGCGTGTGGAGTATAAGGATGTATACGGGGAAGAGGACGAAGCTGAAGCTAACATAGACGAGGGACTGAAGGCTGACAAAGCTCCACTTTCAGACGCTCTTGAACCAGCCGATGATGATAGTGAAAAGACATTTGTCGAGAAATATGTTACTGCCGATGAAAGCGACGCACAGGAAGAGTTTCAGATGGTGGATATAGAAAATGAAATTGTGATACATGACCAGGAAGAGGAGGTAGAGCCAAAGGAAAATCCAGCAGAGGAAGAAGTAGAAACTTTAAAGGATGATAATCTCAGTGAATTTGAGGACCAGCTCGATGGAACAATTGAATACCTCATATCAGATAACGAAGATATGGACCATTACAGCTCTGGCGACTATACAGTCAATATTCAGTGTCCAAGCTGCCCCGAACAATTTAGTAACCGACGAGCATACAACGCACATACGAAACGCGAACACTTTCCGGGCTATGTATGTGATCAATGTGGAAAAACGCTTCAGTCTTATTCTGGCTTCATTGGCCATCTGCAGAATCACGAGCCCGTTAAGCAATTCGAGTGCCCCGAATGTGGCGAACGATTTAATCGTAAGTTCCGCTTAAAGCACCATATGGCGTGGCATACAGGCGAGACCCCGTATCAGTGTGAGATCTGCTCAAAGCGTTTCGTGCATAAAGTAGCGCTGTATAAGCATAAAATGATACACGACAACGACACAAAAAGACTTGAGTGCCAGGTTTGTGAATTCAAAACACGCACAAAAGCTCATTTGGAGAGGCATATGAGATCTCACACAGGAGCTAAGCCATTTTGCTGTCCCGTCTGTAATAAGCGCTTTTCTCAAATGTACAACATGAAGGCACATTTGCGCGAGCACGAAAACCCGGGATGCAATCGTCAGCGACGCTTCCACTGCCCCAAGTGCACCCACAGCTTCATAAACGAGCAAAATTTCGTTAACCATGTCCAGCGAGGAGACTGCACGTCGGCTTAATCCGCACATATAAACATGGAGGTGACATGCACTCATGTATAGTGGTATGGTACATGGTAAAAGTAAACTAACATGTAAATTCAAATAAGTTAGTACGTACTTTTTCATTTAAAATACATATATGCATTTTCTTCACAAATAAATGTTATTAAATAATAAAATTATTCGATGCATACTTGTATTTCAGGAGATATCTATTTTTTGTATTATTGTTCAACTGTATATAAACAAATGTAATGAGAGGAAATAAACAATTTAAAATATAATTGACATAAGAATACTAATTAAATTTAGCGTAATGCAAAACAATGAAATTCATGAATTTCCCTAGCTGAATTAATTGAACTTAATAATGTACCAAAAATTTCATGAATACCAAACTCGAAAATAATTTCGATACATTTTTACTAACTGATAAAAAAAACTTTTCCCAGATTTTATGCTGTCACAAAAATGTTCTAGGTTTTTATTAGGTTCTGAATAAACACTTTAATGAAATATAAAAAAGGCAATCAAAATTCTGCTCGCAATGCCTAATATTAATCTGTTAGCTAGACATCTCCGAATAAGGGAAGAATACCGGAAACGCTAAGAATCACAATAAACGTAGCGTTCCGTTAATTGTAGTCTACACTCAGCAACGGGCGAGCATAGTATAGCGCATAAGAGACGCACCAGCAGGAGATTTGGTCCTATTCTGGCTTGAGCGAATGAGATTGTTAAGCAATTTAAGCCCCAATGATTTAATCGTCAGCTTCGCTTATAGCCTGCAATATTTTGGCCAGCGACGCGTCCACTTTCCAACACATTTTACTAAATGCACTTTATGTTCTGATAAAAGATCATGATTTCATGTATTTTTTTAAATATTTTTTTATTAAATTTATATGCATTTTGCTCGCAAATAAAATATTATTCATTAATTAAAATGCTCATTACTTGCACATTTCTGCAAATAACTATGTTCTTAAAAAAATATGCGTTTAATTTTATATAAATAAATGAAGTTTTCTGTCAGTTATGTAAGCGCAATGGTCATTCGCAACAAAAAATAATGCTAAATTGAATTGACACAAGTACAATTTGTTAATACATGAATTTATGTGTTTACTGTATACAGTCAATAGATTATATAAAAATAAAACAGATTATATTTTGATTTTTGTCGAGTTGAATATAACTTTGTTAATATCATATTATAAAATGCGCTTCATAAAAATATTAACAAAATTTATTGCAGGCAGTCCGCGGTGTAAAGCAATAAACTAATTGAAATTAAGGAAACCCTATATTTGAAAGTCTCTCTATAAGGTGCAGTTCTCGTTACAAAATGTCAATAATCTTAAAGAACTGCGACATTTTTTCCCAAGTGCGGTGCAAAGACGTTAACCGCTCACCGATTTGTTACATCGGCAAAAGAAGAATACAATTAATTCTTCAACTAAAAAATGTTACAAAAATGCCGATAGTTAAAAAATACAAACGTAACTTTAAGTCACCTTAAGATTGATTTCAATTAATTTGTAAGAATTACTCCCAGATTAAAGGACGAAATTTCAAAATACATATATTCAGTAGTTTTGTGATGTATACGAAAAGCCCTTCAATATACAGTTCTATGAGTACTTATTTTAATTTCTGGAAATAGCTTCTCGTGTGTTTTCTCAATGATTTACATACATACGTCATGACCTCTAGCAAATATTTGCATTAAAAAATCTACTCTTAATGCCTAAAACTAATCGGATGGTTTGACAAGACCCATCGCCTTGTCTCCGAATAAGGGAAGGATATCGGAGTCACTAACAATTTCTTCCTGAATCACTGGACTGTCTGGATCTTCGCAGTGGGTCTTGAAAAAAAATCTGCAATACAAATGAATCCAAATGTAGTTATACATATCTGAAGAGTATAGTCCTGTATGTGTGAATGTACCTGAAGTTTCCCTTTCTAGGGAGATAATCCTTAAACTGGCGAAGAGTCGGCTGTGTTCCAGGAATTTTTATTCTGTATGGAACAGTTTCTTCGCAGAATAAGAACACCACTACCGTCTCCGACGGCTTTGCCGGTAGTGGAGGTGGTGCCGACTGATGGTGCAGGTTACTGCAGTTGCCAAAGGTGGTGAGTTGCTGTTGCTGCATTGGAACCATATGAGGTTGTGTCGGCGGTTGGGTGTAACGACGGGAGCGTCTGGGTTCATCTTCTAGTCTTCGTTTTGCCTCCTCCAGTTTCGTGGTCGTACTTGAAATAGAGCGGGAGCTGCAAAGTGATTGGGCATATAGGGACTGCCATAATTGAACTTATTTTTCATACGCACCTCGTGTCTTTGTACTTCATAACAGAATCTGTTGAGAACATGCTTATGCCGCTATCGGTATTCATAGACGGCCATTTGTTCATTAGCTTCCTTGCGCAGGAACTGTGATCGGGCATGGACTTGGAGTGTTTCATCGAATGACCACCTTACAAAAGAAAGCGATATAATACAATGAAATAAGAATCGAAACACGAATGCGTTCAGAATACTTACTTAAGCTCATTGCACCATCGCTCACCATTCCGGAGTCGTGCGTAGCTGTGCGCCTTCTGGATGGTATGGGCGGGCAAGGTGACATTGTGCCAGGCGACCGATGTGGCGTTTGGTCCTTCCACACCCGCGATACATGCTGATCCAAAATGTCTTGGTCGTTGTCTTCGTCCAGAGCAAACTTTTCGCGTATCGCCTCAGCAAAAGCGCGCTCACTGACGTTAGATCTGTCGCTACTGGGAATTCGCTAGCAATAGTAATGAGAAAAATCAATTCCGCCAATTATAAAATGAATTCACTTTTTTCAATCAATTCAAGTGGGGAAATGAAGAGCATATGAAGCTATAATACATCGGAAAAATCGGAAATGCTCCAACTCTTTCCTCTTCAGCAGATTTGGCTCTCGACCCTACTGCTTCAATATTCATTCGAATTCTTAGCAATCTAAGTATAATTCATGGGAAAAAACTGCTTACCTCCAGCCGTGCTCTTTCTTCCAAGTCCCTCTTACGTTTAACTTCCTCCAGTTTCGGTATCAACAAAGCCACAAGCTCATCTTCTTTGAGGGGCCTATGTTCATTGGAGTGTAGCCGTTGAGTGCGAGGTATAACCTAAAAATGGATATAAAAGATATGTACATATATTAATGCCACACTACAAACATCTTTCTTACCTGAAAGGTGTTGGTCTCTTTATTAGCCATTGCGCTCTGACGGATTGCTTTACTCTCCGTGGAGCTGTGTCTCCGTTGAATGTATGGCCTTCCGTCCCTGAAAAGAAAACATTTCTCTATTAATATACAAGTACTAACCGACACCTGGTGTTGGCTGAGCCTAATGCAAGAGCCTATGGCACCTTCTATGATACTTCCTGTGACGACTTGGTCCCAGGCTCAAACTCAACTACTCACATCGAACAACTGGACAGTGACATTGTATCGGAGTCGGTGCGGCCTCCGGAGCTGACACTTGCCCTCTCCGAATCAACCCGCGAATTCGGCACGTAGGAGGTATTGTTGGTGCTCGTGTTGAACACATAACCGTGCGCTCTACGGCATTCGCATGCAAGGCGTTTTTGTGTGTTTTGGGAAAATGTCCATGCAATGTGGCCAAATCATATGAGTTTTAAATAAAATGAGGAAATACACAAAAATCAGTAAATCCGTAAAACAAATCCGTCATTTAAGTAGCCATCGTAGTGTATGTTGCGGTTCGTGATTATGCAGGCGTGTTGTTTTGTTCGTGAGAGCGTGGACGTGCGTGCATTGATTTGTGAGTGTAGTCATGTAAAATATGTAAATAAAAGTAAACAAAATAAAAATAAATAAATAAAAGATGTCTTGGAAGAAAGAAATACATATGTACAATAATCTTAAACACAACTTAATAATATCATATTGCAGATAAATCAGGTAAAAATAATTCTTCTTTGGCATGCTACAGATAAAACTTATTACATAAGGAGAACACACGAAAATCTTGCAAAACTCATTATTGAAATGCTCCATCAAATCTAAATACTTAAAACTACAAAAATACTTAAAAACTAAATATTGCAAAATCTTTTGTTCTAAAAATGTTCTAGGCGTCAGCTTTTGAAGATGATGTTATGATGAATGCATATATATATCGCTAAAAAATTTAAATGTCAGCTTCACTTGAACAAGAAGCGTGGAAATGAAATGGTTTTTTGGACAATCGGATTGCAAATACTATTAAATAGCAAAACGATGCAGCCAGAATGTTGTTTCCGAAATTTTAATAAGCACTACTTATGCACAGAATCTACTTTTTGACGAATGCAGATAATAATTATGTCGAGATCGAACACGATATGATTTAAATAGTTTTTTTATGAATACTTCATTAGCCTGGATAATAAATTGGTCCTTAGATCTGGGAAGGGTCGGGTTCTTTGTCGCAAGTTCCTATATTATGATTTTGAATTAGATGTCGCAAATATAATTTGGTTTTTTCAAATGCTATTCTTTGCTGTGCCCAATGGATAAAACCTTAAGCCCGTGTAGTGCAAATGTATGAAATATCCAAGGAGTATAGTATATTCAGAATCTGTATGACAATAAGAATGAAAAAAAGCTTACAAAATAATAGCATTCTAGTAATTTATAAACACTTTCTAATGGTTTTACGAAAAATTAGTCCATATAAAATAATAAAACCATAACTAAACGAGTTAAGAAATTAACTTTGGTCTGAAGCTTTATAATTTATAGTTGCGTAGAAAGAATTGTTCAACTATTTTACAAATGGGCATCCATGCTCAACCCAAGAGTTATGCAAGACCATTTAAAATTTCTACTGCGATTATTTCTAAAGGAGTTGTTATACTTGTAATATATGATATGATATATACATAATGTACATGTTTGTATTCCTCACATAGTGCCAGCAATCTTTTAACGAGATAGCTTTAATACCGTAGTGGTTAACTGCAACAGACAGACGGACATCCCGTAGCGCCGAGATTCCAACAAGAAACCTTCAGCACTGATATTTAATTATTTAACTCTATCAACGAGTAGCAAAACGTTTATTTATCTAAAAGGCAGTGCGTACGATGTAAATAATTCCCTTTCAGAGATTGTGAAAGTCTGGGTGTGGTGTATTCTGAGAACCGTGGTGATCAAGGGTGTGTATGTGTTTTTTAATCATTAAAATAGTGACATTTTAAATCGTTCACACGCGATGTGTGCAACCGTTCGGAAATATCAACCAATTTCCCACAGTTAGCATCAAAATACCTTGCGTAAATATCAAAATGGGTTTAATAGTATAGCCGTAGAAAAGCGCCTACCTATTAATATATGTAGGAATACAAGAATAGGGTTACGCAAGCGGTAGCCAGCTGCTTTAAAATCAACATTATTACTACACTTACCCAGGAGGTCTAATTTCCAGTCTTCGTTTCTGAGTTGCAATAAGAAGATCCCGCGTTAGACGCATTGGATAATCAACGGGCGCCCGTCCGCCCTCGACTTGTAATTTCTCGAAATCGTCGGAGAGCAACAGTTCGGAATCTTCGTGCAGTGTTGGTAATGTGGAGCTGCGCGGCAGTGTGTCCGTGGCACTAATGGAGCCACTAGAGCTAGCCGAAGTTGAGGGACCATAGACGCTGCCGCTGGCACTACATGTGCCAGCTGGCGGGCCAGTTGTAGCGCTTATGCTACTGTTTATCGGCAAGCTTATGAAGGAGCCCATTGAGCCCGTTGCTGGCTGTTTTCCAGAAGAGGTTGGTGTTGCACATGCACCTGCAATATTGCCAACATTGCTGGCGCAACTGCCGCCACTACTGACGCTGCTACCCGAGGCAGTGGCTCCGCTACTGCTGAATCTTTCGTGGGCTGCCGCCATTTGCTGGATGTACAAGATGTACATCTCCGAGCATAGGAAGCTCGGATAAATGTTGTCCCGTATAATAACTTCCACGTGATGCTGCATCGGGTCGTAGATGTGTGGACTAAGTGGAATCTCATTTGATTTGATTGCTTTTATTTGACAGCGCAAATCATCGGATATAGGCAATTGGCTTTTTCTAAGGAACCTGCAAATTATTCAAATAGCTTGTTGCATACGTCACTTTTTTGCAGTTCATAAATTTGACTTACCTATATATCGCACCGATTATTTGCTTCACCTTCTCCGGATCGGTTTGTTGCTTCAGACCTTCGCATGCAAAGTAAAAATTCAAGTGATCGTTGTAGGCCGGCGCCTCCTCCTCGACATACTTCTTAAAAAGTTCAACCCCATCTCGGTCTTCAAGTAGATGATTAAGCGTGCGGGCCCAGTTTAGATAAGATGGAGGTGAGTTCTTTGATGTCTCAGTAACCCCTTCGGTCATCTAAGCGAATATAATGGTCTCTTTCGTAAACTTGGCTTTAACATAAAAACAAACAAATGCAAACCTTTGTAGCACGGCTCTCTTCTCCGGGTACAGGTGGTCGTGGCCCACTACACTCATTATCATCATGTTTTCCGAGTCCCGATAAATGGCTCATGCCACTTCAAGTTCAGCTGTTTCTATTGCTCTTTTTGTTATGATTTTCGTCCTTTTCTTATTATCTTAGCTTGCTAAATATTTATCTACTCTTATGTTTAAGTTCATACAAACAAACTTTTTATTCCAATCACAAAGGCCCGTTATATTTTAAATATTTTTGGGACATGGAAGATGATTTAATTTAATGTTGGTTGCGAGTTTGGAAGGCAATCATACAAGGCCTGCAAAAAAATTCATAATTAGTAAGACAGTTTTTAAATAAATTAAATTTTTCGTACTGACAGTATTTAAATGACCATCAGAACCAAACTCAAGCAAGCTTAGATTGCTATAAATATATTATATACGCAGCTATAAATTGGTTAACACCTAGTGTAACTTTGTAGCATAATAATCCATGATTCAGGGAGCTACAAAAGTGCTCTAAGCTTTGCAGATTGCTTTGACTGCAGTCTGTTCAAAAAATAAGAGCGCCATTGTTTTGCGTCACTAGAATAAAAAAGGACGATCAGAGTTTTGTAAACGTTCATGGAAGTTGTGGCAGCTGAACTTTTTCCAACGTTAGAATTGACTATTTTGGTTCAAACTTAATATATTTTCAAGGCTGAATTAGCGGCAAAAATCTATGCCAAGATTTTTTAAAGGTATGAACTTATGAAGAGATGAATGTACAGCAGTTTTTAATTGTGTTCTAAATCCCTCCCAAATGGAAACAAGGTGAAGTGCCGCACCAAAAAGCTGACTATAAGGATTGGAAGACTTGGTGCATTTACTGAAAACATTCCCTTTTGTTATTTGTGAAAGGAAGTGTATCGATTGTAACTATAGTAGAGTCCTTCAAAATGCAGAACTTTTAAAAATGATGAAACTCAAAAACGGCCGCTATTGAATACAGTCCCAAGGATGCTCGACAACTTTTTGCAACTGTATGGCCTAGAAATCGGACTTGGCAGTTATAATTATACTTTCGCAATCTATGGACGGTAAAACATTTTTTAAATCGACAACACAGTCGAAAGAAGAGTGTCATGGTCGGGAGAGAGTTTCTAACATCAAAAAAGAATGCCGTGGCTTACAAAACGTCATTATCTGAATTACAAAATATATTTGGGACTCTAATGTGGCATTTCCGACAAGATATACATACTCCAATCCATAAAGCCTGCCTTGTCAAGACGTGTATTCAAACCTTGAAAGTGGACTTGCTTTAGTAGCCCCCATGTTTCCCTAAAGCTTATGAGGCAGAAAAGACAGCTTTAATCAATGGAATCACTTAAAGATTTAAGATTACAGAAATTTCTCTAAACAAATTACTTCCCGTTACTGCTTCCGTGTCCTCATGTTAAGTTTTATAATGATTGTTTAATATAAATGTAAAGGAAATTATAGCTATAAATGCCATAAGTTCTCTGCCCAAGTTCTGTACTATTTATTGGTTAAGGAAAAATATTAAAATTTTTCGTTTTTGTGTGAGTTGGTGGAGGATATTTAGGAGTCCACTTCGTCGACTTTAGCATTCCTTTCTTGTTTTTCTTTTGTGTACATAGTATGCTAATAATTTTATAGCTCTTCTTAGACTTGAATAGGCTTTCTTTTAAATATAGTTGGAGATCCCTAGAATTTTGGGTTCAAAAACAGCAGAGCATGGAAAACTAGGCCTAGTGTGTTCTTATTCAAGTCACGAGCAGTGTATGTAAGGAGTATATATGTATGTACATATGTAAATAAATTTGTATGTATGTATGTACATATATATGTATGTAGTTATATTGGTTCGCCTTGTGGGCGTTAAATGCAATGAGCTCTTTGTAGAATTTAAAAAAATATTGAAATGAAAATATCATGTTGTATAACAACTAGTGCAATTTCGTAGAAAATGCCGGCGCCATTAGACCAATTGTCGTTATATTTGTCAGTTGTGATGCTAACTGAATACCCAGTTGAGTGGAGTAGACGTTTTCAAGAGTTGGATGTGTATACATATATAATAGTATTTAAAAGAAATCGAACGGCGGCCATTTTGAGGACGTTTTTCATTGGTTGATAATGCCAACCAATACAATATTCAGCGCACATGAAGAAGCAAAGGGAAGGACAATAATCCATTATATACGAAATTCAAAAAGGAATTCGTGCGCACACACACAAGCACACTCACTAGTAGAGGAAAATGAACAGGAGGCGGTGGTGGTGCCTCGTCTCCAGTGCTGTTTGACACGACATGAAGCCTGGCAAACTAAACATCAGCAGCCCCTTTCAAAAAATCACAAATTTTTTCTGCAGTCAAAGCAACGACAACTACAAACATACACACACACAAACACACACTCACACAGACACACACACAAAAAGTACCTCCGACAACAAACAGAAACAACAACAAGAGACAAAGGCCGATAACAGAGCACTCGAACATCAGAGGCAAGAGCAGCAGCCCTTCGCTGCCAGCACGGCAGCCAAACATACATAGCACGACTTACATATGAACATACAAGTACATACATACGTACACGTATGTACGTATGTGTGTCTATATATTTATATATATATATATATGTATATGTATAGTACATATGTACAGTGATAAAAGCTGAATAATAAAGGGGATGAACGTCGGCTGTGACAACAAAGAGAGCGCCAGAGCCAAGGAAACTCATCAAAACGCCATTTGCATAGCACTCCATTGCAGCCTAAAGAACAAAAATAAAAGCACAATTAAAACGCCAGGCACAATGCTGCCGACAGGGACGGCAACAGCTATTGAAACGAAAACAACAAGAGGAAGAGATAACTAGGAATGCGGCAACCACTTAAGGCGTCAAGCTCTAAGTCGGCTGTCACAGAAATCAATGCACATTTCCTAAAGACATACGAAAGAAAGGAAAACTTAATGGGAGATACAATTAATTAAAGATACAATTATCTTTCCGACACAAAGGATAATCGAGCTCCTGAATGTGTATGAAGCAGTCAAATAACGTAGTATTTGCTAAAGTGGTGAAATATTAACATCCTTACAGAAATAGACAATATTTTAAATTTTATGTATTTTGTGAGAAAAAACACAGGATCACTCATTCCTCCGTCGCGGCAAATAAATTCAATTTTTCGCTTATCACATTATGTTGCAATGTTCATTTGTCTAATTATACTCTGTACATGAAATGTAGAAGAGCTGAAAAATGTAACAGGCATATCTCGGAGACTATAGAAGTATTAGGGACACCAAACTTTTAGTCCCAGCTGCCTTATGTGAATACGCAGAAAATGTGTATTTTGGAATTTCTCTCCCTCCCTCCTCTCCAACAAAATCACTGATTTTCCATAACTCCAGCATTTCTGCCCAGTTAGTGATTATGAGTCCGTATGCCAAATTTCATCAGGATAGGCCGATTTAGCAGGAAGTTAAAGCTATATATGTATGTATATATGATCAAGCGGTGCCCACAGCTATTGTTCTTGTTACTGCGTTGCACAGCCACACGAGACATAGTACAGAGTATTTTAAAGTCAGGACAACCTACATTAGCTTCTCTATTTGTTTTTGAATGTACTTGTATTTATTTTAAAAAGAGTATATATTGATAGTATCACGTTATAAAATATTAGGTTTGTAGACTCTTCTAATAACCAGACAACACAAGTTTATTTTACTTTTTGGATTTTCTTCCTAATCTCCACGATACTGTTCAACTTTCGAAAGCTACATAAATCAAACTTATATCTACTTTTGTTTTAAATTTAAATGACCGATTTAGTCAAGTCTAAGCAAAGTTATTCGGAAAACAGACAACCCGCAGCACCAAGTTCGCCCTTCCTCTTCTTTTTGCTTCTACTATGGACGCATAAAACTTAGCGCCGGAAGTTTGTCTGGGTACACTGTACAGTGTTCACTGTAGGGCTTGCTCGCCTGTAGCGTTCTCTCTTTTTCCTAATCACAGTTCACAAAAGGTAAGGGTATATTATCTTAGTAAAAAAAAGAAGCAGCTGCCTCAAAGTATATACAAATCATATATATTTTTGATCAGTTTGTGAAGACGGTTAGTATGAATGCAAGGACTACCGAAAGTATGCATGTCCTCGTAATTTCGCTTCCCTGCAATGAGTATTTGATTAAAAGTTTAATATTGTAGATATGTGGATAAGTAAGAAAGATACAATACCCCAATTTGTCATCTAGATAGAACTAGAATGCACCCCCTACTTCCACGCTAGAGACGTTTTATTATAGTTTCTGCAATTCTTGTAATTCACAAGTTTTAGGGAAGTTATAGCCGAAAATGCAATCTCAATTGTTGTTTTTGTTGTAATTCAATTTCTTACTGCCACACACACTTACGCGTTTTAAATCTATGCGTATCCACTGTGCAAGCACATGCGTTTACGTAGAGTTATATATTATTGTTTAATTTGTACACCAAATTTTTACCTGATGGGTAAAAAGGGTAACATATAAGATTTGTGCTAAACAATAAAACCGTTCTGATTTTGTTATCCTTTGCCAAAACATATAAGACAGCCCTCAAAAAATCAAAAAGGGGAAACTCAAGTTTAAATATTTTAACTGACCTATGAGATCACATTATTTCGGATATCTTTCAAGGATTGAAAGCAAAATTATGGTAATTTACCGATATTAACTAAGGCAAAAGAGCTAGAGCCAAACATGCTTTTCTAAGCCCAAGAGAAAGCATGTTTATACTCTGTACATGAAATATAAAAGAGTATATTAGGTTACCGGAAGGTGAACAAGAGAGAACGCTACAGTCGAGCAAGCCCGACAGTGTAATACCCTGTACCCAGGTAAACTTGCGTCACTGAGTTATATGCGCCTATAGCAGCAGCAAAAAGAGGAAGAAGAAGAGCGAACTTGTTGCTGCAGTTTGGTGGGGTTGTACTGGCGAGAATTTGTTTTGCTAATAACTTTTCTTAGAATTGACCGAATTGAATAAAATTTTGAACAACAATAGACAATTATATATAAATTATGTGTGCAAAGTTTGGTTTAGGTAGCATTTGAAATGTGGACGCTATTGACGAAATTCTGTAGCGGTGGAAGGGGGGGAAAATTAAAAAAAAATAAAATAAACTCGTCCTTACTCGGACCTAGGAGAATCTGGATGCCAACTTTGGTTATTCCAGCTTTTATAGTTTCTGAGATCCTTGCGTTCATCCAGACGGACAGACGGACGGACAGACGGACGGACATGTCTAGATCGAT